GGGGGTATGAACCAGGACGGAAATGGGGTTGGTTGTTTCAGAGGTATATTGAGTGGGATGCGCTGGCTTTGGTGTTGGTGGGGTTTGTGTGGGGGGGTGGGATGGGGAGGTTTGGGGGTTGTGGAGAGGGTGGTTGGGTTTTGGAGGGGGAGTTGGGGATTAATGTAGATGGTAATGGGATGGGGAAGGGGAATGAGAGGTGGGAGCATATTGAGGAGTTGAGGGGAGGGCGTTGAGGGTTAGGGCTGGGGAGAGGGTTGGGTTGATGGCGCAGAGTGACTCAGTCACAACTGATGGGTGTGAGGAGTGTGAGGATACTCCTGGTGATGAACTCCCTGGGAATGGAACAGCATGTGAGTGGAGTACAGCAGCATTTGAACATTATTTTCAGGTGTTGCGGGGTGGGGATGACTCTTTGTAGATAGATAATAGTCCGTGTTGTGAGTCTCAATATACATTCTTAATCGAACTCAACATAACTAAATCAAGATTCCAATTATACAAAAACTATATAGCAATACATGACACATAAAAAGAGGAGAAAAATCAATACAACCCCATACCTACATCCCATCCCCACCCCTAATACAAGACACATCAAGAAATAAAGGGAAAAAAATCTAAGCAACACCCACCCACCCCACCCCCCAAACCCTACCCACAAACACCACCCCAGACCCAACCAACGCACAAACCCCCGCAAATACCAACGCGGCGTGATAATCCCCATACGAACTAATCATCGCCCCGGTGATAGGCGTCCCCGTCAAACTCGCCAAACTCAACACTCCCAACGCCATTCCCATATACGAACCGATAACATTCGGCCGTGGGGCTGTCATAGCAATCGTCGCAGGAAACATCCCTACCACAGTACCGGAGAAGAATCCAAACAGGATAGAGAATACGATCATGCTTGATAGGGAGTTGATGGCTAGCCAGGAGAGGATCAAGATGCCACAGATAGCGGAGGATGCGGTGAGGGTGTTGAAGCGACCGATTCGGTTGGCGAGAATACCGCCCAGTAGTCTGCCGACTAGGGATCCGGCGTTTTGGATCGAGATGAGGTAGTTTGAGAGGTTGATGTCAATGCCGATGGATTGGGCGTAGCTGGGGATGTAGAAGAAGGGGACGAAGATGGCCCAGATGATGAGGAAGAGACCGGCGACTTGGAAGGAGTAGGCTGGGTGGGACCATGCTTCTAGCAGGAAGGGGGATCCGGATTTGCGTTTGGGAGCGGGGGAGGAGATGGCTATGCAGGCGATGATGTTGAGGAAGAGCATGAGGAAGCCGAGGATGCGGACGGACCAGCCGAAGCCGAGGGGGGAGGAGTTAAGCATGCGGTTTAGGGCGATGGGGAAGATGATTCCTGCGAGTGAGGAGCCGGAGGAGGCGATGCCCATTGCTAGGGGACGGCGGGTGAAGAAGTATTGGTTTACGGCGGTGAGGGTGGGGGTGTAGATGAGGCCGTTGGTGAGACCGCCGAGGATGCCTTGGGCGAGGAGGAATTGGTAGTATTGTTTGCAGAGGCTGTTGAGCATGACGGAGAGGGTGAAGAGGAGGGAGCAGGGGATTAGGATGGCCTGGTGGTTGGTTAGATGGGTTTGGTTGGGGGAGGGGGGAGGGGAGGGCGTACTCTGGGTCCGTAGCGGTCCATCAAGGGGCCGGAGATGAGGCCGGCGGAGAACATGAAGAAGGCTTGGAGGGAGCCGATCCAGGCGATGTTGGATTCGCTTTGGTTTTGGAGAAAGGTGTTTTTGTAGTAGGCCTCGTAGATGCTGATTTGTTAGTGATGCTACTACCACGACCATATGATATATCCTTGGGCTACTGGTGGAGGTGTGTTAGACAGTGGATAAGGAGTGACATACCCGAATGCATTGATGTATCCAAAGGTGTTGAACATTACACACCAGCAGGCGAGAACGGCCATCCATGCTTTGAAGCCACCCTCGGGGAAGTTTGGGGGCTTGGGGGAATCTGCAATGGCGGCATTTTTTTCGGTGTCGGTAGACATGATGTATGCTTTATGTTAAGATTATTCTGAGAGTATTGTAGCGAAGGTCACATACTGGATGTGAGTTATAGATGTATTTGATGCTGGCTGCGAGGGCTCGGGTATTCCCGATCGGGCGAATTTCCCAATTCCCGCGGTCGGGGCCGAATTCCCGTCCGAGCTTAATTCGATCTGATAAGGACGAGTCTGCGTCACGTATGAGACTCAACCTGAGAAGGCATTGATCTATAGCAATGTGTGGGTTTAAAGAAATAGGGTTTAGGGGGATATCAACTATCGATGTGAATGATGTCTTGCCCGGAATATGTTCCCGTACATTGACTCTTCACCCCCTGCAACATTACAAACTCTAACAGACTTGTAGGAGCTGTATTATTCGAACATCTCGTCAGCATTTTAAGTGTTATTATATCATTATATGTAGACTGTACGTGGTTGATTGCTGTTCAGAACATTGCTGAGATAGAACTGTAATTGAAAGACATGCCCCAGCCAGGTGATTCCCACTGGAAATACCCGACAAAACGTGGCTTAAAAATGCGTGCAGGCGGCTTGATAGCTGCAAACGGTCATAGGTTGAGAGCAGCATAAGCGGAGCCTCGAGGTAACATAGCAGTAGATATGGTGCTTCATCCACTGGAACTCTGAGTTACGAATACGTAATCCACTATCGACACATACAAACAGGAAGAAATCAAAGAAATAGAAAAGTCAGAAATATGATAAAGTGGTGGGACCCGATGAATATTCATCACCGTTATCTGCGCCAAAAATAGCATCCATCCTAAGCTTCCTTGGCACCTAGATAAATACCAGTAGGACAATGCGTCTTAACTTCAGCACAAGCCTCCCACTAGACATCCGGCTGACAGTCCATCATCGCCTGTAAGCAGCCACCCGTATTTCCGGACTCGGTGATTCGACACTTTCCACGCCCCGACGTATCACAGGTGAGACAAGCTCAAAGACGCGTAAAGCTTGAGCCGCGCAGATAACCACCCTATCAAAATCACCGTGATGCATGCAGGTCTCAGTCAAAATAGATACAGTGATCAAATGACGCATATCATCGTATTCCTACTATATCCTATATACATTTACTATCCACATCCTTCGAGAATATAAATATGTCCATATGCCTCATGTTCTATCTCCATCTCATCAACAACTACATCTTCCCTGTCCCATACACAGAACAACATCAACAAAATGGCCCTCTTCATCACCCTCCTAACCCTCACCACCCTCCTCACCCCCGCCCTCACCACCAACTGCAGCACCAGCCCCTTCACCGTGATCTCCACCCGCTCCGGCACCCCCATCCAAAACCTCCCTTTAACCGCCGCCTCCAACAATTTCTACCTCGACGGGACGACCTCATCTTACTGCCTGCCCCAAATTGCAGCTTATGATGCTTGTCCACCAGGCAACGAAACCGTAATCAGCGGAAACAACTACCTCGTACCCTCCCCCCCTTATCCCCCTCATCCCCAACTGCACCCACTAATAAGAACAGGACTCCGCCTACGTCCAAGAAATCTACATCGACCCCACCGGCGCCGTCAAATTCGTCGAAGCCCACACAACCTACATGCCTAGCGGCGCCTCAACAGCCACGTTCTGCTACACGCCCGGCACAGAGTACGGAACCTGGACGTATACTGGCCTCGGCGCGACGGGGTTCATGGCGTGTCCGATCACAACCACGGAGGTAGCAGATGCTGGTCCGTACCAGGTGTTTGCGGCTTTGGGAAATGCGTCGGTTCCAACGGGGAATGTATCGGATTGTTTGGATTTTGAGGCTTTGGCGGTGCCGTGGGGTGGGGTGCAGGGGAGTGTGGCGGCTTGGGAGTATGTCTGATTTACACCCTACATAGTACTTTTGGGTTGGGGTTTAGGTTGGGGGATGATATGATCTGTTGGTTGGTATTTGGGGGGTGAGTGTTAGGTTTATAGATTAGTCGGTATCGGTCGCTTATATTGTCGATGGAAGTTAGGATATAGGATGGGGTTGCGGCCATAACCCTAAATCAGAGCTACGTTATTTATATACAGTTTGAAGTCAAAGAACACCCCACACTACACTGCTTCTAGAAAAAGTCAAATCCAATTAAATTTTGGATTCTGAATATCAGTGTTAGAATCCGACTACAGTTGGTATACCGAACAGCCGACCAACTCGACGTTTCCGCGGAGAGGGTCAATCACCCCATACAACATGCCATCCATCCCATCCTTCCCCATTCCCCACATCACATCACATCACCCCAATCCGAACCAGCAATATATTTCTCCGGGGTAACAGTACATACTACATATCTGTCTACTTCACATGTAATTGTTAATAACTAATTATCTATGAAATGAATACCCCACGCTCTAAGTCAAGAATTCAATACAATCTTTAATTCCAATACCGCAAGATTTCACTTCCCAGCGATATCCCCGTCTGCAGTCTCCAAAACAAAAACCCATGACATTCAACACTCAACACTAATAACATTAATCCTCACGACAAAATTCTAGTTCCATCCACGTGAACACACCCAAATCCTCCCACACCACACCACATAATATCATAATACAATATGATATAACACAAAACCATAAAACAAGATCCAACTACCCTCCTCCCTACCCAATGCTCAGATTCCCGTCAGCTCAGCTCAGTCAGCTCATCTCAGATCCCGGCTTACTTCATGGGCCCGAATCGTCCGATCCAACCACATCATTCCCCAACCTCTAGAACCCAAACACTAGAATCCAGTAAGCTTACCTACCCAGTCCCTAAGTCCTAAGTATCCCAACTAAGCAACAAAAATAAGCAGTAACAAAAAAGAAAACCAAATCCCGGATCTGGAAAATATATTCCGCGCTGTTCCCGACCAGAAACCCAAAAAATCTTCCCTACGTGAAAATTAACCCAAACGCCTTTAGTTTAAACTAATTACCCACCAATTACAACCTATTAAGCAATACCTTACTGAATGTGGTAATCGGTCCCTAGGTAGGTAGGTAGGTAATTCCATCCATTTCAGGCTCTAGAGTACAATAACAATAATAATCATCTAGCCTAGGCCCTACACAGTAGGTAGATAATATTCTACTCGGTAGGAATAAGATGCAGGGATCAGACCATAACCCTAACCTAACCTAACCCAATACTTTTTTTCTATCAGCAGCTACACTACACTACACTACACTACGTCATTATCGCATGACGTTGACACGTTAATGATCCGAACCGAACCGAACTTCCTTACTTACAATTTAATTAATTAATTGAATATAATATAAATCATTTACTATGCATTAATCAATCCATGGAATTAAAGCATCCGTTCCATGGAAGTTGGATATTGGATGGGGATGGGATGGGTAAAGTGCGAGCCGCTTATTTTTTTTTTTTTCCCTCTCCAATAACGGGTTGTGTTATAGTTATGGATAAGGTGGGGGAAATGGAACCGGGGAATGGATTCCAAAATCAATAGTTCCAACTTTGCGATGGAATAACTCTGGTAGCCTGGTAGGGTAGGTATCTAGGCCTAGTGGGGAAGAACATTCGAGTATGTTCGTGTTTATTTCCATTGTGGTAAAATTAAACGAAGTCCTAGTCGTAGCAGTCAGATTGAGTCACAGTGTTGGTTGTGGTGGTGGTGGTGGGTGAGACACGGATAGGACAGAGGATGATTAAGCTAGAAATATTAACTATTTTATCATAGATTAATTAATCTAGACTACTTCCTATCCGGGCATAAACCTCGGATCAAACTGGATGCAGCCATACAACCGAAATAATCATGTCCCTGAATTGGACACGTCCCATATAGAATAATAAATGATACTAATTACCAATGCAAACAACCCGACACTCCTTGTCCGGGAAATATAGATGTAATCATAGCTCGTGACCCAATTACCCAGCCCAAGCCCATCCGGAACACCATCCATGCAAACCTTCTATAGAAACTCCTTTTCAGATGAATACAGCGACGAGGTTGAGTCGCCCGGACCGGGTAGTGGCACCTTGGTCGCGTCGAACTCCCATGCGGCTTCGCGCGATTCCTTGGCGTTGCGCACTTGCATCGGCATCGTCCATTCCTTTAGACGACCCTCTAAGAACCCGAGATCGCGGTTCTTCTCCCACATTCGTCGCGATACTTGGAACGCTGCGTTGACGGTTCCTCGTCGGAGATCTTCGTAGGCTTTGAAACTGACCGGGAGAGGGTCGTAGCGGTGCTTCGAAAGAATGCGAGAGAAGAGAATGGCGTCATCTAATGCGTAGGCGGCTGATTCATCCCGAGGAGGCATCTATATCTGTTAGAATAGTTCAATAAAGAAGATAGGAAGAGCTTACTGCATGTGCCGCATCACCCAGGAGCAACACTCGGTTGCGGTACCAGCGTCCACCTGGTCGGACTTGCCACACAGGATAAAGCATCCAGTCGTCCGCCTTGGACACCATGTCTCGGATCGACGCCAGTCCCGATCGGCCAAAGCGATCCTGCATCTCTCGGCTGAGCGCATCCTTAATGGCTGCAGTGCGGCGCCAGTCTTGGCCCGGTTCAATCTTGTAGTGATGAAGCAGCTCTTCGCGGAACTGTACGATGGCGGCCATGAAGATCTGGGTGTGGTCCCGATCGCAGTAACTGGCCAGCAAGGAACCATGGCGGGAGATGTTCATGGAGGTGGAGCGGAAATGGACGGGGGCCTTGACTTGTTTGCTATCAATCATGGTCTGGACAAATGAGATGCCCGTGTATTCCGACGGGCTCTCGGGAGCGACCCATTGGGTGCGCACGTTGGAGTGGACCCCGTCACAGCCGAGCACCAAATCTCCAGTCGCCGTGGTGCCATCGTGGAAAAGCAGCGTCGCCTTGTCCTTGGTTTCCTTGCCGCGCACCAGCTTCTTGCCAAACACGATGTTGACGTTCTTGGTGCGTTCCACCACCTTCAACATGGCCAGGGACAGAATAATCCGCATCACACGGCGACCCTTGTACCCACCGAATCCGTTCCCATTCTGGTCGGTGAAATTAATGGCACCCAGGGACCGCCCGGAGCGGCTGGAGTACAGCTCAATAGCATCCACATCGGTACCAGCCTCGGGTCCCAGTTTGTCCAGCTCCGCGAGAACCCCAAGGCGATCGAGATGCCGTTGGGCCACGGGAGTCAGGTTGATGGCACCGCCGGAGGTGGAGAGGATATCGTGTCGTTCATAGACGTTGATGCGAAGGTCGGGGACAAAAGGAGTCAGTTCCTTGGAGAGGGCCAGGGCCACGGCAATGCCCGCAATGCCGGCGCCCACCACCAGGATATCACGGGGGACGGATTCGGCTTCGAGAGGGGGAGCCCGGTCCACGAAGTTCCAGAAGTTGACCCAGTCCTTCCCGGCGGAGGGGGGTGGGGTAGCCTCATATCCAACGTCCATCATGATTGCAGCTTGGAGATTGGGTTCAACCGATTCGACAGCGCGGGAGGGTTTTTTTCATGAGCGATGAAGGGAGGTCGGTTATAAGGGAAGCGGCCATATAGGGAGTGCGTGTCGTGTGCGTAGCTACCCAAACCAGAGGGGTGAATCGCTTAAGTAAAAACGAAGGTTTTAGTCAAGAAAATCCTGCGGAGGCGAAATAGACTGCTAGAGATATCAGGGGGGAAGATTAGGGGCATTGGGGTTTGTATATATACACCAATCAGGCTGATGCAGCGGACAGGCTCCGTCTTTTGGCGAGTCCAGAAGCACTGCAGGCGACCTGTTCGGCCGGAAATGGAGACTGTTCGGAGGTTAGGTCTGCCATGGCTGTCTGGAGAAGCCAAAAAGTTGGCAGGAAGCCAATGCCAAAAGAGAAAACTTTTTTCAGTCACCAGAAAAAAAAATTCAAATAAAAAAATTGAAATAAAAAAAGCAGGAAAAAAGATTTGTCTGCAGGCCTCCACTGAGGAGACTAATACGGCTTTGGCGACAGGCGAGCATGAACGGCGCCAAACCAGAGGCCGCAGCTCCACTCAACCTCCGAGACCACGGCCGATTCAGGATGCCATAGGCCAGTGGGATGAAGCTGTCACTGCCCGCGGTGGATGGATCATTCCATCACAGCCGTTACGGTCCGGCTCGGCACTCCTGGAGGCTCGTTAGTGATAGATAGACCGGAATCGGCCAGAGGGACTGACTGGATGAGAGGAAAGGAAGCAGATGCCGAGGGTGAGACCGGACCTGAGGGGTGGTCCGTGAGGTGGCTAGATGATTCAGATGGAATTGGATCTCGTCCGACGGAAGGGTTCGAGCGATGCCGATGGATGATGCATGAAGGGAGGGATGTGACAGTTGCAGAAGCAGAGGTGGATGCTCCGAATTATTCAGAGATGTGTTTGTGCGTGGCCAAGCCACACCACACTTACACTAGAGCCCCCGACAGGGGGTCAACTGCTGGCTGCATTGTTGTTCAGCATCACTCCGACGCTTCAATCACATGCTCCGATCGTCAATCAAGCATAAACCAGGATTAATCCCTGTCCTTGCTCCTTTTCCGTCCAATCATCCCCTCGGGGTAATATCTGTGCTGACCCGACTGTCTCCCGACCATGGTGTATAGTCACAATAGTCACTATAACCACCCATATCCACTAAAGGAGGACCTGCAATCCAGTTTGAGATCCCCTGGACCTCCTGCCTCCATAGTCCATACTCCATATCCATAGTCTATCACCGCCAGACACTAATTCAGGAACCGGTGATGGTCCAAGTGTCATCGGTCGCGATTCCGGCCCTCCGAAATGATCAGGACAACGGGACTCCATTCGTGCCCCCATCCCCCAAGGCCCCTCTTCTGCTGCCAGGAATCGTCGATGAGCCAGGAGCATAAGACGGAGAACTAAGGAGTCTTTGCTCCGGCCTCCGGGTCCATCCACGGTACTTCTCTGTCCAACCAAATCCCCGTGGCTCCAGGGGATCCCCACTCGGCGCTGTCCGTGAGCAGCGTGACGTAGCCTCAATAATGGTGTCGGGGGGACTACTCGCTCTGGATATGCGAGGGATCCTCCGTACTCCGTACTCCGCATCAATAAGAAGACACCTGGTAGAGTGTCAAACAGAATGAGAACCAGTCACCATGGAGTGAAACGCACCTGTCATGGGTAGAGCGTGAACTCAAAAACGGTCGCATTGGACCTGTCAGATCTGAATTTTCCAGTGCCCTGCTGCATCCATGCATCCATGCATTCCCCTCCGAGGACAGTCATGTTCCTGACGATCCACCGACCTGGGGATAGGGAGAGGGGAGATCCAACGCCGCATCACCACTTGGTGACACAACGGGGAACGGCCAGTGTTTCTAATTCCAGCCAGCTATCAATAACTCGGAACTGACCGTCTTGGGAAATGCGACAGAGAGTCTCAACGGGGCCAGCCTTATGCGGAGAAGCCATTCCTCGAATGACGGTCGATGGCAGGAGAAGAAGTTCAGCTGGTCCGGAGGAATTGCCGAAACGGCCACGCGAGACCCTCTTCCTCCACATCGCATTCATCAACATTTACGATTAGGCAGTCATAATATTCCAATCTGTCTAAATTCTGGAAAAAATGTTATGATCCTCTCCTGATCCCAACTATGTAAATAAATCATCACCCGGAAGTTTCATCCGCAACAACGGAAACATCCCCGACAGGCTGTGTCACGATCGGTATCACCCCAAGACCACCCTGGTCAGTAGTCCGTCACACGTCGTCGTTCAGCAACACGACATATCCACACAGCACTGTCATCAAACTCTATCGCCAGATCGGCAGGCCTAGTTCTTTCCTGCGGAACGGCGGAACGGCGGAATCTTCGACAGCTACGGAGTACACTTTCAAGATGTAGATCGACAGGAATTACCGGCCGATGCCGGACTTGGATCCGCTTAATAATCTTGTTATAAGTCATGGATGGTTGGGGGCGAGATGTAGATGGGATAATATCAAAAGAGCAGGGATATATATTTCGGGATCAATCTGCTTCCGTGCACTATCGGCATTGCTCTATCTACACACAAAGGAGTCTGCATGCCACAAAATATACAAATATCCTTATCATTGAGTAGAGTAGGTTGATTGTTGTTGGCTTATCATGTCAAATAGATTAAAAGTGATGTGTCTCCCCTACGCAATGACCCCGGGCAGGACAAAGAGCAAACTCTAAGTTTGGACTCCGCGATAGTCTAGACCTATCTTTGAGACTCGAGATACGGGGTAATCTATCTCGGTGAGCTGGCTTGACGTCTACAATATCAAGTCAAAGAGATAACTCCGCGCACAGATGACCAGCTCGTATGTGGCTGGCACAAGTGTCCCTTGCGATAAGAAAAGACTGACACCTCCGATTCAAAGTCAATGCGTCTAACTGTAATGCAATCTAGATCCCATGCCGTCGCTGAACCCACAAATGAAACACGGTGCTTTTCGTATATGCAGGAGAAACTTTTGGATCCGTCTAGGTCGCTCGGATCAAATCGCCCAGCATACCAGTGTGGAGGCTAGGCCGATTCCGCCACACGGTCGAAATGTACTTTCGAGTCGAGATTGAAGAAAGTGTTGATGCCAGAGAGCGCACAGACAGCCGCTGGTACCGTTAGCATAGCCGTATCATTACTGGCAGGGCACATACCGATAACACAGCTCATCTCGTAGTATCCGACCTGCTCGGCGACAAAGCCAGACACGATGGGTCCAATGAATGCGCCCAGCGTCCAGCCCATACTCGCCACCGAAAGGGCCCGCGAATATCCCCCGTTCGGGCCAAAGATACCGGGATGTTTGGCCTCGACCTCGTCAATGGTGACTGCAACGCGTTAGACCATTTCAACTTGCTTCCCTTTGCACGGACGACACATACCCGTAGCCTCAATCGTTCCGGCCCCGTTCAGCAGACAGGACACGGATCCCACCAGAGTCACCCCAACAGCGTAAATAACCTTTCCCCGGTCGCCCTCATTGGCCCAGGGGAATCGCTCGTCCCCAGGCATACCAATGACCCACATCACAGGCGCAAGCAGCAAAAACCCGACCGTGGTAGGCCACCGGGTTCCCACCCGGTCCTTCAACCACCCACACAGGGGACTAAGCAGGATACCAGGGCCTTGCAGAGCAAAGAACATCATGCCGGCAGGAAAACTACCCCAGCTGAACACATCACGAACGTGCAGAGGTAGAGTGGTGTCAAAGCTGGAGACCAAGACGGCAAAGGAGAAGTAGCTGACCACTCCGCACACGAAGCGACGATACCGCAGGATGTACAAGTAAAACTTTAGGCCTGTGAGTTCCCCCTCGATCACACTGTGCGTATCACTGTGCGTATCACTGCGTGCATCACTGCGTGCATTGCTGTGTGTGTCGCTGAGAAGTGGAGCGCTCTCGGTGTTGGATACAACACTCTCACTGCTGCTATATTCCACATCTTTGGTGGTCGGTTTCTCCAACATGAGCAGTCGAAGGATGATGTCGACGATGAGAATAACGAAAGCACTAGACCATGCTGTCCAATATCCACCCAGCTCGAACAGAATACCAGCGACCATAGGGCCTCCGGAGGTACCTGCCGCTACGACCAGTGAGATAACCCCATATGTCTTGCCCAGATGTTCCGGTTGTACATTGTCCGCGATCGTCGCATATCCGACCACCCAAATGAACGAGCTGGCGACTGCCTGAATGAGACGTCCGGCAAAAAGAGTAAATGCTGTGTAACGGTCAGTATGCGGAGCTCAAGTATTAGGTAGGGGCGACCGCACTGGATGTCGCCAGGGCCAGGACTATAGAGCCAATCAATGCAGCGACCAGCGATCCGACGAGTAAAACCCGCTTAGAGGACAGCCGATCTGCATAGTGGCCAATAAACGGACTTGTAACGAGAGCAGCGACCGCAGTTTCCGACAGCAAGGCAAAACTCATGCGTTGGGTGAGGGAGACATCTAATCCGAGGCGGCTCTCGAGGACGTAGGGGAGGATGGGGACGAGGAAGGCATAGAGAAAGGTGTCTAGATAAAGCGGCAGATCTTGTTAGCGACCTGAAACAGGAGAGCAGAAACGCAGGGTTACCAGTGAACAGGGCCATCGCCATGGCACTGACGATGAAAAAAGGCGAGGATCGCCATTGCTGGCCCCAGGTGCCTCCCTTTGAGTACGCGAAGTTCATGATGGTGTTGTTGACCGCACACGACTGCAGGCCAGAAGAGAAGGAGAAGACATTGCGATGCCGCGCTGATAAGGATCGAAGGAAGCCCGCCAGCCCTTAGTTGCGACCTAGACTCGGAGCCCCCGGCGGGCGACTCCGATGCCGATGCCGTGGTGAATAAGCAGCAGAGAGGAGGCCCAATTGTGGCCTGAGATTATGGCCCGAGATTATGGCGAAAGGAGTCATTATTGGCTCGTCGATCTCCAGAGATGAGGTGAAAGCAGGGATAGTATGTTTGGATGAAGCATGCAGACAGACCATGGATAGGTTGGAGGGGCAAAGAGAAGAGAAGAAAGAAGTGGGGAAGATGCCTTCCGAGGCAGTCAGGCAGCCAGGATCCCCAGGCGGTGAAGCCCGCAGTCTCCCAGCCGGGGTACAACCGGGGAATATTCTCACTTCCTCTCGTGTTGATCTGTTGATCACAAGGCATTGGTGATTGCTAATCGAGAGTGACTATCTCTTAATCCACAGCAAGGACCTCACATGTGCATGGTCAATGGTCAAGTCCAGGAACCAATCCATCCATTGTCTTCCCCCAGTCATCGATTTCCAGCAAGCCAAGCATAAAGTCATTTTGGCTCCATAGCCAGTTGGGCTTATCGCATATTTCAGTCTTGGTGGCCAAGACCGTTTCTGGTTCTACGACAAGACCATCCGGCCCCGACTCTTTGGACAGTCCCGGCCACAAGGCGCATTGAACGTGATTGCCAACATCCTCCGAAGTCAGGACGTGCTGCATGGTGTCTGGGTTATATGGGGTACCAAAGGCGCTGCGGAAGAAGCGATAGTGACTTTCCTGGCGATCCAACCGACGCTTGAACTGTATACAAGCCCGGACCAGAGTCCGCAATTTGGTGCTCCCCCTGGAAGGATCAATCGAGAAATATTGTGCAAAGTCCGTCTCAACTTGCGCCACCACAGAATTAATGACTTTGGGCTCATCACCAAGCTCCTCCACCGCTATGCTTGTTGCTGTGCGCCAGTGATGGGCGACATGTCGAGGGCCTGAACGTCAGCTTGCTTTCTGGACCCAGCAAGGGGAAGCCTTACAGCAATCCTGTACTTTCTCCGCAATAGTCCTGAAGACTTCTTCATTGGAGAGTCCCATTATAAAGGGACCAAAGACATGTTCATAGAAGGTTCCACTGACAGCGGAGGAGATAAAGGCACGTAGTTCGTGCTGTCTGTTTGGAACGAAGGCTGCTCCATTGTCTTGGAGGTCCTCCCTCAGCCTGTCCAGGAGCTCTGTGTTGCGAAAACAGGCATTGATCCAGCCGCTCAGCCGCTGCCGCAGACGTTTCATCTCTCGCGTGGCATCCTCATCACTGAGCATGGCCGGCTGAAACTTCAGTGACTGTACTTTCTGCATGAGTGACCTAATCTGGGCTTTATTCTCAGCCACCTCGGAAGCCTTCAACGCCTCAACCTCTTTCAAACGTTGGAGATGGCGTCGAGCCTGCTCCTCGGCCAAGAGCGGAGCCAGCGCAGCTTTTTCGAGCCCTCGATAGAGTTCTGGATTGCTCTGGTGCCAAAGTATTTAGCAAAAGGATGAGGATCAGTGTGAGGTACTTACACGCAGGAGGCTATCGACAGCCGCCATTTTGGATGGTAAAAAACCACCATTCTTCGCGGGGCCTATATCGTCCATATTGTGAAGATTGTGTCCTTGGTGAGATGCGGGAAGACCATCCGTTGTGGAAGGGAATTCCAATTCCTGACGAAAGACTGCAGCTTTCGTGGCTAGTCGTCATCGTGACTGAAGAGGTATATGGTGTAGGAATGACTGCACTATGCCCCGCTTTGAAATCTCTCCCCTCTTTTTCTTACACCTTTTATACCTTTCACACCTTCACCTTTCACCTTGCACCTTTCACCTTTCACCTTACACCTTTCACACCCTCCACGCCTTTCTGCTCAACACAACTGTTCGCCGCCATGACAGATCCTCGTATCGTAATAGGGCTCGACTTCGGCACCACCTATAGCGGGTAAGCAAGTCCGTCAAACTAGCCGTCATATTTGAACTGATCCTCTCAGTGTCGCTTGGGCGCTGAGTGATTCTCCCAATGAGACTGAAGTGATAACTTCATGGCCAGGAAGTGGTAATAGTCAGTCCCCCTTGGTGCTTTGACTCTTGCGTATTTGACCACTGGCATAGAGACGACCCCCAAAGTCCCCAGCACAATGACAGTCAAGTGCGGGGGACGGTTGCAGTGGGGATATCAGACCAGCTTCTTCGGAAACCACATCCGAGGTGTCAAACTCCTCCTTGATAAGTCCCAAGACCCAGAATATGTGGCTTCTCTGGAGTCTGCCGGATTCATCAAGAAGAACTGGCGGTCTCCCGTCACCTACGCTGGCCGGTATCTCGAGCAGTTGGTTTTGCATACCAAAAACGTCCTCCAGAAGCGGTTCGGTCCTGCAGTCCAAAGCATGGAGATGCAGTATGTGCTTACTGTACCGGCCATCTGGTCGGACAAGGCCAAGGACGCTACCATGAGGGCCGCTCTGAAGGCGGGTATCCCACATCAGGACATTTCTTTGGTATCTGAGCCCGAGGCGGCAGCCTTGCACTGTATGACTGTTATTCGGCCGAACACGATCCGGGTGAGTTCGCACTATAGATAGCTAGTGCTCAATCTAATCTGGACCAGGATGGTGATGTAGTCGTAGTGTGTGACGCTGGCGGTGGTACCGTGGTTGGTGTCCCTGAGGCTCATGATTCTGTTCTCGTGGCTAATTTGGCAGGATCTCATATCGTACTGTGTGAAAACGGTCTCCCCCTTGTGTCTCGAAGAACTGGTCGAGGGCACTGGTATGAATCCCACTCGAATAACTAGAGAGACAACTAATGGCCCAGGTGGCATCTGTGGATCCATGATGCTTGATGTGGGATTTACCAAGTTCCTCGATTCTCTGATCGACAAGAAGAAAGTCCCCGACAAGGCTCGTGAAATGGCTTTACGATTTTGGCAGGACAATATCAAGCCCAACTTCGCTAGCGACCCGAATTTTCTGGAGGAGACTCACTTCGTGCCTCTTCCCGGAGTCAAAGACAACAGCAAAATTGGCCTGCGAGACGGGTTTCTCCAAATGGATGGGTGTGCTGAATCTAAGACGCTGTTGGGACGGGAGCTGACCTTCATATAATAGAACTCAGGTCAAGGCCATCTTCGATCCGATCGTGGATCAAGTCCAAGACCTAATTGAGGGCCAGGCTGCAAGAGCCAAGGAGTCGGGCAAGTCAGTCAAGGTGAGTACTGAAGCGGTCCCTTGCGCCACGCTGACCACATGGCAGACCATCCTTCTGGTCGGAGGGTTCGGAGCATCCGACTATCTCTACCAGTGTGTTCAAAAAGCCCACAGTGGCATTATTGTGATGCAGCCACCAAATTCGTAAGTTCTCTCGTTGTGTCAGAAAAATTCGTGAGGCTAATAATTGGTAGCTGGTCTGCAGTAATGTTGTGAGTTTACAAGCTGCGTGGGGATTGGTGCATCAGGCTGATATCACTAGGGGAGCCGTCCGACATGGCACTGAGGGCAACAAGGTCGGGAAGCGTATTGCAAGACGCCACTATGGGGTCAGGTTCCGCACCGACCACAAGAAAACCCTGAAAAAGTACCCAAAATCTGCACATAAGTGGTGCGACTTGACCGAGAGGTGGTATGTTCACCATATGACGGAGTGGTATATTCATAAGGTAAGTCTACAGCAGGTGGGCTTCGACCAGATCTTATTTCGATGACTTATGACTCGTAGGGAGCCGAAATCCTCGAAAACACGCCCGTCCGATTTCATTTCTGCCGGACCATTCCATGTGACGGGACGCCTGTGTTTGAGGACAAGCTTTATGTCTGTGGCGATAACGTAGCCCCAAAGCGCCTCAATGAGAGTAAGTAATAGAATCATACATATTATAGATGTTGTGCGGCTGATGTACACTCAGGGGTTTTCAGTGTGTGTACCCTGAAGAGCGATCTCCGCGCGATTCCAACTCGACTCTTTAAGGAAAAGAGTAATAGCAAGGGCATGCAGTACTACTGTATTGAGCATGACTTGGTCATGACCCCACGGTCTGGATCCATTGATTTTGAGCTGCAGTTCAATGGGGCTTCATATGGGCATGTTGAGGCAACTTATTGATTGACGTAGCTTGCTGTGGAAGTTTCCATTCGATACGTTAATCCTGTGGTAGGAGGTACCAGCTGAAAATTTGCCATCTAGCCTTATTTCATAAGTCAATGTTTCTACCTGATCAATCATATCTTAGGCACTTGGCAATAAGCAGACAAATGAATCTAGCCAACCAGACCCGAACCTGGTCCAATCCCTCCCAGCAACAGCGGGTAAACACCTGCATATACCCCGTGCAGATATTCCGCGAATAGCAAAGTGCCTCGAGTTTACCCGCACCTCCGCATCGGATAAATGTTTGCATGTTTCACACGCCCTTCTGTTTAAAAGGGATGACCCTGTAGCAATCAATATGCAGCCGTACTCTCAATAATCCCACCGAGCATCATGCATCTATTCTACTATCTCCTACTCCTATTTCTAGGGCTAGCCCACGCCCACCAAAACTGGGGCCCTAGTAAATTCACCACCCTAGTCACCTTTGGCGATAGCTACACAGACGACACACGAGTTAGCTATTTCTACAACCACAATGGATCAGCACCGCCTGTCGGATGGGTGGAACCTATAGTACCCTCCTACCCTACCCATTCCCCCCTTCCCACCCCCTCCAACATCCCACCCCTAACCACAAACACAAAAAACACAGACAAACGACTCCTCCACAGGCGGCTACATCTGGGGCCACTACGTACACCAATACGCCCCTCTCACGCACCGCTACAACTACGCCGTCAGCGGCGCCTCCTGCTCCAACGCCATCACCCCCCGAACCACCTCCTTCGGCCTCTACCCCTCCGTCCTAGAATACCAAGTCCCCGCCTTCACCGCAGACTCCCTCTACACACCCCCCAACAGCACCGAACCCTTCCTCTCCCTCCCCGTTAACGAAACCATCTACGCCATATGGATCGGCACTAACGATCTCGGAAACTACGCTTTCCTAACCGATTCGCAAGTCCCTGGGAAGACAATCCCGGATTATATCGATTGTGTGTATGATGCGTTAGAGGGCGTGTATGCTACCGGTAAGGCGAAGTATTTTGTCATTATGAATGTGGTGCCGTTGGAGTTGGCGCCGTTGTATGCGACACCGGAAAATGGGGGCATTGGGAAGAATATGTATTGGCCGGATAAAGCGGGGAATTTTACGGAGATTAGTGGTAGGATGGGTGGGCAGGTGGAGTTGGTTAATGAGGTTTATAAGTGGAGGACGGAGGGGGAGTGGGGGGTTGGGAAGAGGTATAGGGGGAGTAAAGTGGCGGTTATGGATGTGCATGGGTTGGTGAGTTCCCCTTCCTTTTTTCTTTTGGTGTGGTTTGGTTTGGGTAGAGGCTAATATGGTGGGTGGCAGGTCCTGGATATATATAACAATCCCACGCGGTATCTGAATGGGTCTGCGCCGGCGAATGTCACGGGGTATAATCATCATTGTGATCTCACGGGAACGGAGTGTTATCGGTTGCCGAGTCCGGATTCGTTTCTTTGGTATGATCAGTTGCATCCGTCGGAGAGGACGGATCAGGTGATTGCGGAGGAGTTTGTGAAGGTGGTGAGGGGGGAGAGTCGGTGGGCGAGGTATTGGGGGTAGGGTTGCAGTGGATGGAGTAGAGGATATATGGTTGATATTAGGGAGGGATCGGGTGGTCTGGTAGGTATATATTCTGGTATTTAAGATGAATATTTGTGGAAATATCTTCAATTAGTGGGAGGGTGAACATGTACGCATGATGAGATTTGATGTGGAGATGGTACTGAGGGATGGGATAATACTGGTATACTTCGGAATAGGTTGATTAGTATGACATAACAGAGGAGGGGAGTCTTATTATGGAATCAAGGGTGCAAGATGATAACATCATCGAAGTTGCCTGAATAATATAGGAGTATGATATTAACAATGGGCCAATAATGCAGGATGTGTACCTGGCAGGATAAATGACCATACTACGTAACTTCACATCATTACTCACCCACACACCTCGTTCTTATCTGATAGACCAAATGGTTTCTCAAGAAACAGCCAAAACTGCCACCCCCCAGGCTGGTAGCTCGACCGCAAAGCTCCCACTACCCGACACACTGGACGTAGTGGTAGTGATCGACACATCATGCGGATAGTTACTCACAGCCTCACCCCCAGAGAGCAGCTGAAGCTCACCCGATGTCGTACCCTCGATATTGACAGTCACGTTCTGCGAGGTAGACCCGTAGTTCGCCAGCTTGACATAGTAGGTGCCAGCGTCAGACACGGAGGCGACCCAGAAGAGCGGGTCAAAGTCGCCAGTTGCGTTGACAGGAAGCACAGTGGATCCCCGGTTAGTGGAGAACATCTTCTGAACATAGTACGAGGTAGACCCGGTGATGGAGTCGGGACTAGAGTCAAGACCGAAAAGATCGGGCTGTAGCAGTTAGTATACTCTAGGTTAAGCTGCCTGTATGGGAGGGGGTAGCACTCACCGACCACTCGGCCATATCAAAGTGCTCCAACAACGGGGCAAAGCTGGCCATCTTGACAATGTCGCTGTTGCGTTCCATGCCGATCATGTAGACGGCTTCACTGCAGGATCCCTGCATGTATGACCAGTAGGTAGTGCTTCCGTCGTTGCCGGTGGTGCTGGCATATTCACCGACCAGGATGGGCCAGTCGCGCGACCAGTTATCCCATTCGTTGAAGAGGTCGACGAACTCGTCGGGGGTTAGGTAGTGGTGGATGTCGGTGATGACGCCGTCTGGGATGGTGGATGGGAGGCACGAAGTGTCGGTAGTTGAGGCCACGATGGTAATGTTTGGATACGCAGCATGAACAGCATCGTATATCTGGGTGAACCGGTCTGCGTAGGTTCCACAGCCACTATTGAGGTTGTCTTCGTTGCCTACCTCGATGTGCTGGACGTTCCAAGGCTCAGTGCGGCCGTTTTTGGCACGTAGGGCGCCGTAGGTTGTGTCCGTCGAGCCGAGGACGTACTGCTGATGTTAGAGAAGATGTATAAGTAGTTAGGAATTCCGTACCTCGAGTTCGTTGAGAATGTCATCAACGTAGGGATCCAAGGCTGATCCAGAGACAATGCCGCCACCCAGGCTCAGACCGGCCCACACAGCAAGAACGGGAACCAGGTCCATGTCCTCGCACCACTGCAGATACTCGTCCAGACCTGATTGTGAATTAGGACCCGATAATGATGGTATTGGGGGAAAGAAGCTCACCAAGGGCGTCTGTGTTCGGATAAGTCCAGTCACCTGCAACAAGTCAGTGTATGTTAACTAGGAAATGTGGAACTCATACCTTCTCGTCCAGGACGATCAATGACTGGGCCGATAGTCTCGTTCCACTTCCAGCGATCACTTGGACTGGCGCCTTCACTAAAACAGCCGAGTCAATACATGAGAGGGCGTTGCCATCCACTAGACTTACAGGTTGTTGCCTCCGGGGAATCGGAGAAAAGACGCCTTGACCTCTGCCAGGAAGCTAGCGACATCATCACGAAGGCCATTGAACCTGGATTATATAAGTTTATAGTTTAACAAGATAGGTAAGAACAGCACCCACCGCGAGTTATATGTAGGAGGAAACAGCTGCACCAAGCCAAAGTTCAGAGAGCTTCCAGCCACCTTGGAAGCGTCAAATCGCAGCTGCCACACATTATTTGCATCTGCGGAGACGGACGACGTAAACGAGGTCTCATAGTAAGTAAAGTTGGAGGTGGTGCTGGCCACAGTGATGTTGTGGTCTGCATAGACGATTCCGCTCGAGTTTCCCACCAGCCGGAGATTCACGATGCCAGAGTAATCACCTTTCATGTAGAAATAGTTGTCGTAAGTAGTGTCCAGAACCGGAACGCCATCGTAGCCCTCGTTGGCGAAGCCAACATATCCGGTTGTTCCAGACGGAACAGACACCTTGAGCGAAGAGGTGATGGCGCTGCTGAGCGGCTCGGATGTATCTTGTGATATGGTCACGTCTCCTACCGCGCTATACGCCGTAAGGCCAGGGTCGTCACCCTGGAAGCCGTTGTTGCGAAGCACCTGGCCGTGAATGCCGCCGTCACCTAGCCTGTGTCATCATGTCTGTCCGGACAGAGACGTGGCATGTTCTTACCCGAATTGTTGATGTCCTAATACCAGGGATCAGTCAATGAACAGGAAGAGTCAGATGAATCCCACCTCAAACATGATCCCATAGAGTAGGGAGCTGGACGAATTTCCGCCAGTTTTCGACACAGTCAGTTCAATAGCAAATGCCTGGCTGGCCAGCCATGACACGGCCAAGGAGGATAGGACAGAAGAAATCATGATGCCCTCGGATGAGCCAGTGAAAGAGGGACGGGTTGCTCATTGTTTCCTGAGGGGTGCTCTGATTTAAATATATGCATCCCGGAAGTTGATGGCATTCTGCAGACTATGCCTGTTCCTCAGACGCACAGACTGCAGAATAGGCACACGTGGGCCCATGGATGCAGAATGACCATATTCCCCTGAATAGGCCAAGAAGCCCACAGGAGAATTACTCAGTTAGGTGCAAGAGTCAGGAACTGACCCCAGTCAGGGGATGTCGGCAATTGCGGATGCAGGATTGGCAGTTGGAAGTCATGCAGGAAACCGGTGCATAGCGGAGGAATTGCGGGGGTTGATGAGGGGTCTCGGCTATCTAACCCTTGGCAGAGTTATTCCGACCACTAACGCACGTCTGGGATATTTGGTGTGTCAGATGGGAGAGTGAAGTGACACCAGGTCAGTGAGATTATAATCGTAGGCCTTCATATCAAGAATGGGCAACGTAGGTTTCTGGATTTACGAGGCGATCCTCGTATTCGGGCCGCTAGGGTTCCGCCGCAGGAACACAGAGCAAAACGTCCTGTCAGGGACGGCATCAAGGGTGTTTCCACTTCAATCGGAGATAAGTGGGTCCTCTGGCATCTGTAAAGCACCGGCGCATGTTCGGACTTGGGAGGAGGAAAACATCCCCGCATGGTGACCACACATCGAACCAGACCAAAAGATAGGCCTTTCCCGTTTCTTCCGTCAAGGAAATACATCAGGAGAAGACAGGTTGCTATTATCCTATGTGATACTGGATTGCCAAGCTGGCCAGGTGTTATGAAAGCGGTGAGCACAGGCAGTATCTAAGTTGTGTCATGTTACACAATGCAGTTGTGCACCAATCACAACAAAGCCGCGGAAAGTCTACATCATGGATCGGGCCGAGTCCCTGCGACGTTTCCTCCGCGGGATTCGGCCAGGAGTGAGGATAGTGATATAATTGACTGATTCTATGACGCCCAGCATGAGGTAGCACTGAGGCTACAAGTCGTGGAGTCATCGGTAGCGCCACCACTCCCTAGGCCAGCTGGCTGTGAATGATACCGGCGGTAGGGCTATAAGCCCTACCCGCGGAAGACGGAGTGGAAAGTTACTGAATTCGGAATGTCCTTGGTAAGGGCTGGCTGGCTGAGTCTTGTAGCTGGGCTATCGGGATTTCTGCATGGTCCTTGAGGTCTGAGTTACGATACAGTGAATGTACGTCTCTGATGGGACGAACCCACTACAGTTATCTTCGTATATTTTGTTTCTGGTTCAGCTGAGTTCCACCATGAGAGGTAGAGCCTGTTACATTTTGTTCCTTTCAGTTCTAGTTTTCTTTTCTTAGGTCCAGGATATTATTACTGTCTTTTTGTAGTCTTCCGGGATGATATCACTTGTCTATTGGATAGGTTGTCAGCTGTACACTGGCTGGTCTCTTGAGTTTCTCTCCTTCTTTCATCTATAATGTTTACAGACGACGCTGATATACAGTGTAGGCTGCTTAACTATGTTACATCTGGAGATATGCATGCTACCCCAATTCTATTATTCTTTATTGCATGAGACCATGGCCTAGGCCATTTGAGCCATCAATTGATAGACCGACAAGTCTCAGACCAGTATTACATCTCTGTGAGGTCACCATTGGCACGATACAATCGCGAGTGCAGAACGTCATATCGATGTTACATTGCTAGATGATCACAACGGACATGACACGTCGACTATCTCAAACTTTCCATCTTGCTAATTGATATAACTGTGCACTCTAGTATAGACCCTAAATAGTTTTGAAACTGACAATCGTGAAATTAATTCTCTTGCCATTGGTCGATCCACTACACTACACGATGAAGGCCCCTTACCAGTGGGCCTTGTTTGCCACCAGCACTTTGAAGAATCTAGAAACCGCTTCTCCCACAGTCACCATCTCTTCCCCTTCAGCTACCATCATCGGAGAACTTGACAATAAAGACGTTAAAAATGTCGAAGTGTTCAAGGGCATTCCATTTGCAGAACCTCCTGTTCCTTCCAATGCTTTGCGTCTCAAGCCACCTCAACCGATCACTACGAGTCTAGGCACAGTTCAAGCCACTGGATATCCTGCAGCATGTCCTCAGATGGATGTGCGCGAAACAAAATGCATGCCTTTACCACCTAACATCGCAGCACTTATGGGGCCGACGGGCCCAAATCCAGAAGTGATTGATGAGGACTGCCTGACGTTGAACATCTGGCGACCCAAGGATTCCACCCCAGACAAAAAATACCCCGTTCTCTTCTGGATCTATGGAGGGTCGTTTGAAGTCGGAAGCAATATGGATCTTCCGGGTGGTCCAATTGTTGAGGCCTCCATCAATCAGGACCTGCCTATCATCTTTGTCAGCGCCAATTACCGTCTTGGTGGATTCGGATTTCTACCCGGACAACGCGTCAGAGACGATGAATCTGCCAACTTGGGTCTGCAGGATCAGCGGCTGGCGCTGCAATGGGTAGCCGATAACATTCATAACTTTGGTGGAGACCCTAGCAAGGTCACCATATGGGGACAGTCCGCCGGTAGTCATTCTGTCTTTCATCAGATGGCGTTATACAATGGTGATCACACGTACCATGGGTCTCCTTTATTCCAAGGCGGCATTATGAATTCCGGCAACACATGGCCGGTCGATGATGTGAATGGAACAAGAGGAGAACAAGTATACAAACACGTTGTGGAAAACTCTCCCTGCTCCCCGGGAAATGACAGCTTGGCCTGTCTGCGCGACTTGAAGTATCCGGATTTCCTCCGCGCTGTCAATTCCGTGCCCAGCAGATCCGGCCACTTCAGCCTCTCTCTATCCTATCTGCCCCGACCAGATGGTAAAGTCGTGACTGCCTCCCCCGAGGAAGCCGTATTGAATGGAACCTACGCCAAGGTGCCTTTCATTGTCGGAGACCCCGAAGACGACGGCTCAGCTGTTGTCATGAATATGACGAATATCACCACGACTGACCATGTCACCGATTATCTCTGGGGATATTATTATCGGAATGCAGAGCGATCGCAGATCAAAGAACTAGTTTCCATCTACGCCGATGACTATGAATATGGTGCACCATTCCACACCCCACCCTCGAACTCACTCTACCCTCAATCCAAACGTCTGGCAGCCATCCTGGGGGACTTTACTGTTCTGCTTACTCGACGGTTCATTCTCGCCGACGCGGTGCCTGACCGACGGAACGTTCCATCATGGTCGTTCATCTTTTCCGCCTTCAAGGGAATCCCGTACCTGGGCTCCTTTCACGGCAGCGAACTGTACATGCGAGAAATCTGGAAGATGCTCCAAAGAGACTTTCCCGATTTGTTTCCGGGGGATATCGAACCGGCTATTGCTTCCATGTGGTCATACTATTTCTCTTTCATCTATTACCAGGATCCAAACAAAGCCAACCAGACCCTGAAGTGGCCACAGTGGACGGATAACCAGCAGATCATGAACTTTACTCGGAATGGCAACGAGATTAAGCCGGATACCTTTCGATACAAAGCGACAGAGTTTCTGGTCAACAACGTTGAGTCTCTCCGGATTTGAATTCTTCTGAGATATGTTCGGATGGAGTTGAAGCGGGGAAATGTCGAGAGTATGAGCTGGTGCAGGATGGATACTAAAGGAAGAGACATTAATTGTTCATTGTCTGTTATTTTTGGTGATCATTCTCCATACACCTAGGGTTTACACCTCCGCAGAAACAATAAGATGACAATAAAGCTACAAGTCCTTCTTTACGTTAGTGATAAGACCTAAATCAAATCAGTTGTGGTATAAACCCTTCACAGATACATGCATGGCAACTTTTAGACCTGGTAATCAAGGCTGAAGATATGCCTACATCATCCCTACAATCACATACGATGGCGCTCTGGGCCCAAACTAGCACTATTACCCTCAGAATAAAGTCCATAGTGGTCTGTTTCACCCAGCGACTGCATTATGACATGTGTGAATCCCATATCCTCTGTCAATCAATCCAGTAACCTGAAGGACACGTGGGACATTGCATATCATTAGCCATATAGTCCATGTGATGTGATAAAAGGGAAACGGGAATGCGACCCCACCAAACCCCTCAACACCTGACTTGTCTACCCTAACCAGAGCTACCATCTACGTGCCAGCCTACGATGCCATATGAAGAGTTGTCAGAAAAGACACATACCCTTATCAACAAGATAAAAGGCATTATCGAAGGGGGAACAGCAGCGGTTGGATAGAAAAAGGCGGGCAGGGGCTGGCGGTATTGCATCCCCGATGAGAGTGAACAGTTGTCAACGGAGCTGGACAATGATGAGTTTCAAGTAAGGATCACCAGCACCTATATAGGACAATGAACTCTTCTAAAGTTGTGTTTAGGTTGTCCAATGCAACATCCTCCGTCTGGTCAATAACGGGACCATACACAATCCAACCGGCCACCTGTTGATCATTCCCCTGAATGGGCGTCCGAGTTTCGAATCAGGAGAACCGTTACTGCCTTGTGAATATATAACCAAGTTGAGCAAGATACGGTGTCATAATGTTGATCTTATTATCGTGGCCTTGGGAAGGAATACTATCGGTAATGAGGTGGGTGCGGGTGTTGGGTCCACAGTTTGACTGGTCAGTTTCAGGAAATGTGAATTAGTATGTGTCAGTTTGGTTGACAAATGATCATTGTCTTGCTGAGTTCTTCTGGTAGCTAGTACATTGCTTGTCAGCAAGAAAACAGATTCTCTAATCAGATGTGAATGTTGAGGCCATGGTGTATACGCATGGTCATTCCCTTGCTTAAACTTTCCAACACTGTAGGCTGAACTTTGATGTGAACCTTACTAGGCTCAAGCCTTAATAGAATGGTTAGGACGGCTAGGCCCTTTTCCACGTCGTGGACCCACTATTTAATTCACACCCACTCATTCCCGTCCATTCACCATCTCCATCATCAACTCACACCCATCAACACCATCATGGATGACTTCGCCCTAAAAAATACCTTCAACAAAACAACACACTACACCGAAGAAAACGCCAACGCTGCTATCCGCGGTGAACGAGTTCCTCCCTGCGTATGCCACCCCGCATTACGACTTTGTCTGGTACGGGGAATCCGGTATAGTCCCGGGTTCGCAACCGAACTCCAATGCAAATATGACCGTCAGGGACTGTTTACTCGGGCAATTAACGCTCGAAGAATCATGAGTAATGAGATCCCTGAGATGACAAATGGGCGAGATACCCCGTATTGTATCTGGTATCCGGAAACCGCTACTGAAGATTCCTACAGAAGATTGGTATCGCGATACCCTCATCTCAAGTACCATGTTGGTCGAGCGTGCGCTGTGGCTGGCTACATGGACCTCTACAAGGAGCTGGATCTCTTGCCAGATGTACATATTGCCGAAGAGGCGAGGGATAATAACCGCATGGCTATATTTGATCTCATCATGGCGAGTCCGATCAGGTATAGTGTTATGAATGACTATACCCGCAGTGTTGATCTTCAACATCCAACAGTATGCTATGTGTGTGGTCTCAACAGCGATACAGCTGTACGGTCCTTTTTAGAACAGAAGCAGAAACATGCCAAATCACAGGATAATGGAGTCTTCTTCCCGTTACATTTCGGATATAGATCTCACTACTGGAATATCACCGAGGATTTGAATATCGGCGAATTTACATCGGAGAAACCGCCGCCCGAGGATGTGTCTCGGTTTCTGTACACTCCTCTTCCGGCTGATTTGCCTCCGATGAACAAGGATTTATTGATATTGATGGCCGCATGGAGTGGAGACATCGATCGGTATGCTCGTCTACGCCGACCAGTCATGATTGAAGAAGAGTTTGAATGTGTGATTCGAGGGGTCTACCACAACACCTTTTTCGCCAAGTGGTGGTCTCTCCAAGAACCACTCTCGGGGCGTTGGCAAAATACAGCCCTCCAGAGTGCAATCACGGCCCGGTTCATTATGAGCAATGATTTGTCTCGGATACCAGCTCAATCGTCTACATCCATACCTCGCCCACGGAATCCACATACACAAGCCTCAGACTCAACCCTCCCCTTCTGCATCTGGTACCCCAATCTCGCCGAACCAGAAACATACCGCGAACTCGCCCGTCGCGAACCCCGGATGATCACCTCCATGGCCCGTGCGTGCATGATCGCCAACTACCAAGCCATATACCAGAAACTAGACTTTAAACCCACCCGGGCCCTACTCTTTGAGGCTGAGCAGCGACCGGAAGAGTTCTATACCGAGGATCTGAACCGTCGTGCAGAACTTCATGGGGGGATAGTAGAGACCGAGGAGGGTTGCTCGTGGCAGGAATATACGGTTGTTCAACTGGTGAGGTTATTCGAGACGAGTTTGAGCGAGGTGTCGACTCCGGAGAATGGGATTATTATGAAATGGACGTCGTGGATCAATGGGATGTTGCATCCGGATGCGGGGAGTGTGTTGTTGAATGTGTGTGCGGAGGAGGTGCAACGGGGATGTGAGCAGATGGGCCTAGGGCAGTTGTATGGTTCTGAGGGCGACATTGAACTTTCAGATGATTTGCGGATGAGGGGGTATTTGAGTTTGATGAGAAGGGGTGGTGCAAAAGAACGGTATACATGAATAGCTGCATGCATGCTTAGCTATTTGGCTATCTTAATTGTGTCTATTTCTCCCTCACCCACCCAATACCAAGATACCATCGCCTAACCTTCCCCTAACATCCCATCCCAAACCTAACCTAACCTCTATAATAAGTCCATATATAAATAATGAACCAAGACTTGCCGCGCGTTCCGAGCCGCCCAGGTCTCCTCCACCTCCCATTCGCTCCCTGGTGCCTCCTAATCAGTCCATCCGGTCCATACCCGCGATGACGTCACGTCCCCTGCCCCAGGCACCATCCCCTCATCCTCTACACAGTACACAGCCCAGGTACGTCATCTGATTTATCCCTCAGTAGTAATATAAACCCATCTCTCCTCTTGCCTTTCAATCGAGACACATACACACATAATCTCAATCTCAATCCTAATCCAAAATGTCCAACTTCATCCACAAAGCCGAAGACGCACTACACCTTCACCACCACAAGGACAAGGAGCATAAAGATAAAGTCCACCCCACGACAGAGTCCACGACCCCGCCGACTGGAGTTGAAGGTATGATTTCTTTCCCCTCTCTTGAATGAATATCCAGTGTTAAGAGTAAATAAGACAACCACCACCACGACAAGCACGAAAAACACAAACACGAGAAACACCACCACCCCAACGATATCGAAATCGCTCGAGCGGATTTCCTCGCCGATAGAGAATATGATCGGGTTTTGAAATCGCCGGATCATGGGCCGGGGATTGGGTTTGAGGCGTAGATACATAGATATCTAGATGGGTGTGTTCTTTGTTTGGGATAGTAAGGAGGGAGGGGTTTGTTTGTGGTGCTATTCAGTGGGTAGACAGGCAGGCAGACAGACAGACAGGCAGATAGGCAGGTAAAGCGAAGTTATACCCTTTTTTGGAAGCGATTGATAAATGAAAGTAGTATAGTAGCCGAGGTAGGGTAGTTGGCGGAATTACCTAATTGGGCTAGATTGGTTTTCCAGGTCACTCTCTAGATCATCTGGCAATTCTAGTATTAGAGGACCAGTTTGTTGCTGTTTAGACAAAGCGCTTGACTAAGAGAAATTTCTTGGTTCTATTGGTAATATCACTTCGGGGACTGATAGTAGGTGAATATGTATTCAAGCACTTGCGTCTGGAATAATGGAATGGACTCTTACCTCGACCAGTAGATGAATGGAGACAGGCGAATGCCATACCAAGGATCAGTGATCGCTAAGCTTTTTCTAGGTACCCACCCTAATTCTTTGTCTCTATCTAAAGTGACTAAATGTACAATGCTTCACTTATACAGCACTCTGGTTGAGCATTTATTGCTCATCGAAATCACAGATTTGATACCAGTGTAATGTCCGTGGGCTCCGCAATGAGTGACTCGCTATATTAGAGTTGAGTGGTGACAGTGGGACCAGTCTCTGCTTTACATTCATAGCGTGCGAGGACCTGACAGGGTGGGGCGACAATTAGGAACCTCACGATAGCCTCATGGAATATCTCATCATGGCAACCGGAGACTACCAATATTCCTACGGAACAGGCCGTACGATAGCGTGATCTCGCAGTATAAAACCCCTTCAAGCCCCCTCCTTAGCTAGATCATGAAGTCCATCATATCAATCATTAATCTATACAATTGGCAATCCGAGCCAAGTATCGACCGGCAATATAAGACCGGAGATGTCCAGCCCTGCAAGTACCCTGCAGGGTCTAGGAACTAAGTATGGCAGCTACTGCTCAGATGGACTCAGCATGATGATAAAAAATATAGGTTGAGGTGCTCTGTGTCTGCCCTTAACCTAATACAAGCTATACCTATGGACAATCACTGAAAAAAACAGAGTAATGAAGTAATTGTGAATGATCACCATTTTAGGTTCTTGTTCCTTGGAGACCTACACAGCCGCGGACCTGATAATTGAATCTCAGTCACCAGCATGCAGCAAAGCAATCAACCAGAAACACAGCATGATTGTGGGCTTTTCATCATATGGATGCATCCGGACTGTCCCTAAGCCGCTCATTTGGGCTTATCACTCTACTTGAGAATTGCTACACACCTTCTAATCAAGAACCAATATTCACCACACAAGCTATTCAACATGGATTACAATGTCGCAGTGATCAACACGCATCAATGCTGCTAGCCATGACAGATAAACATCTGGTTGATCTTACTTTCAAGACACAACTCCCAGTCAAGGTCCAAAGAAGAATCTTGTAAACTCCCACGAATACGCAGTAAGACTTTCGCCATTACTCATTTATGATACCCAGCTGAACAGTATTCGCAAAATAGAAAGACCATCATGTCTTCCCAGTCCAACACCAAAGGAGGCCCTACAGCCGGCCACGAAGAAACAGCCTTCAACCTCCGGTCCAGCCAAACCAATGCCCAGGTGCTCCAGAAAGCGGGAAAGGCCGCCAGAGAAAGGCGAGGAAAGAAGAGCGTCAAAACCAGTCTCTTCATCGGTCCGGTGGAAAGTAAAATGGCTACCAAAACGGCCCAGTCTATCCTCGCGAGACGTGGTTTCGGCAAACACGTCACTGAAAAGACATTATTCCACCAGTACAAAAAGGACTAGTGGAGGCCCTTGGATTACGCATCTTTGCTAACGCACACGATCGAGCTGTCAAGTCATTCGGATACTTGGCCCTACGTTTATTACGAACGACCACTCACTTATTTAATGATGTCAACTAGCCACGATTTCCTTCCTATCTCTAGCATCCCCGTGGCCTCTTTCGGGTAACTTCTGTAACTATACATATCATGAATCTGATCAGATATCATCCTATCCATCATTATTTCCGTCCAAGGGAACTCGTATATGCCATCCCTCAAAGCTAGGCACGACGCACTCACACACCAGATCAATAATGCCCCTTTGCTGGTATGGAGAGCTTATGTTTCATTAGCTTTCTACACTAGTGGCAGTGCCGAAGTTGAAGCCACCCATCTGAAACAACAAAGAAAAGACAATGAGAGTATGTAATGTGAAGAGTGCATCACATCATTAGATCAAACAAATGGCCACCGAACTCAATGCATGTAATCGTACTTGGTAGATCCGCAAAGAGATGTGCCGAGGTAATCGCAGCGTTTAGACCCGCAAATCAGACCGGGGCCGAGTTTTAGTTTGTATTAGCTCGAACGTGAGGTCAGGTGGTAGACTGTTGACTATGAGAAATGTCTCGGGTGCTTCCTCGAAGCGCTACGAGGATGTGAAGACGAATGGATACGTCTGGAGAGGCTTGATGAAGCAGAGAGATTGTCTACGCGGATGAAAGAGAGTTGGGATACTGGACGGTTCTGGGTTGTATATGCGGCCATGCACCACTTTGGATTCGATCTCATTTTCAGAGAAAGGCTGGATAAGATATTTTTGGGCCTGAATGTAATTGGGACACTGATTGGGAAGATAGAATACTGCTTCTTAGTGATGAGGAACAAGTAGAACTTGACCAGTTGGTGAAGGAGAAGTTTGAGAGGACGGGGGTTAGTTGAGCGTTTTCAGGCTTCATACTGCACTGGGGGTGTTTTTTCTCGCTTGAGTGCATCTACTTGTCATGTCTAGTGGAGGTTTCTTTGCAAATATATTTTATTCATGATTAACTGCTATCATCTTACATGAATTCATAGTCGAAATCCAATTAATCTATTTAATCATAATTCATAACCCCCTCCTAAACACCACGACTAACACCACCACCCCCCCCTCTGCCCCCTCTTCCTGAGAAAAACATAATACAAATTCAACACCAAAGCCAACACCCACGAAGCCGCCGCAAGAGCACAAATCGCCGTGAGACCATGAATATATAATGGGGCATCGGAGGTGCGGAAGATTTGTGCGCCAGAAATACCGGATAGGTTTGCGGACATGACTATTAATCTATTTTTATTCTGTTAGCCTAGGTTGAAGAAGGTGCGGATGGGGTCAAAGGGACGAGGGAAGGGGGCATACGCCATGGAAATACTCCTCTCTTGGGGAGTTTTGCAGTAGTAGGCTAGCCAGCCGACGTTGAGGACACTGTATTCATTAGTTTAGGGTTATAGGTGGGGGGGTAGGGGAGGGGGGAAGGGGGGACATACTGCATGCTACAATACGCGACATTAGCTATTGCAATAACGGCATATTTATGCCAACTCGATGCATCCGTTGGACTAGTCCGTAGACAAGCATAGGAAATGACATTCCAAGTAATGCAAAGGAGAACAGCCGGGCCACGGAGACCGGTTTTATCCCTATCCCTGTCAGCATACCATACAATCATCCCACCAAACAAGGGAACATACGAGAAATAAGCCAGTATAGTCGTCCAAACAATACTCGCATACACCGGGACCGAAGCGAGGGCATTCGCTCTGACAGCACTGAATCCAAACGATTTAATCATGCTAGGCGCATAGGTATTCAATCCCTGAAATCCCGACATGGCAACCAAGGTGATCATCATATGTTGGATAGTGGTGGGCTGAGTGACTGTCTTCCAGATATCCCGACCGGTGATTTTAATATGTCTTCTTGTCTTGAGAGGGTCGTCGAGGATCACCCGGTCGAGGATGATGTGTTTCTCGCGAGGAGTAAAGTAACTCCAACGACCCATGCTGATTAATGGACTGCCGTCACCGGCGGTTTTGGGGATGAACATGATGAAGAGGATTGCAGCGAATATGGTGATTAAGCCCTCGACTGGAAATGTAAGTATCATGCCTCCCCTTTCCCCCAAAGGCACGGAACATACCTAGAAAAATCCACCTCCACCCCGCCAACCCACACTTCCCATCCAACTTCAACAACCCGGCGGAAATCAAACTCGACGTCGCCCCCGCAAACATCTGTCCATAGAAGAACAATGTGGTCCGAAAACTCGTCTCGGAGCGTTTATACCACGTGGAAAGATAATAAAGCGCACCTGCATCACATTAGCCTACCCCCACCCCCAATATAATAAGATAGAAAAACAAACCAGGAATAAACCCCCCTCCAACAACCCTAACAACAACCTCGTGGCCAAATACGCCGGATACGATTTAACAAACGCCTGGAACGTCCCGACCAAACCCCAGGCCACTAACTGCGCAGATAGCCATACCTGCGGACCTAATCTTTGGAGGATAATATTCGAGGGGATTTCTGTAATGACTATCCCTGCGGACAGTAACTGCGTTCCGATATTTATTTGGTTAGTGGTGACGTGTAAATCCTTCGTGATGGTGGAGGTGAGTGCGGCGCTGATGTTTCCGCGGTCGATTTGGAGACCGAAGAAGGCGAGAGCGAGGATGGGGATTAGGATTATATCGATTCTGTATTTTTATTAGCATGGTTTCATACTAAGTATGGATGGTCAGGTGAATGAGAAGGGAATGGAAACGTACTTCCTCCGAACCCTCCCCTCCTCCCCATCATCCCAATCCTTGATTATCTCCTCCGTACTAAGATCATCGTTTTCGTTGGTATATACCTCATCCAGGATATTTTTTTCCGAGGGTACACCACCCTGATCGAACTGTGTACGTAGCATACTGCCAAAAATGCCCCCAAATATGTCACGAAGTCGGAGGTCGTTTCACCAAAGGGAAGGGGATCTGGCTGCTGACTTATCCACCCCTAGATACGTCACATGAACAGAGATAAAATCTCCGAATGCGGGATGGCATGTCTTTATATGCAGGTCTGCTACGGAGGAGAAAATCAGGTAGGGTTTGGTGTGTGGGACAGTCTGGATACCCACTATGAAGTGAGATGGAGGCGTGATGGCGCAATCGCGGCGGGTGTTGATGTCAGGCGGCCACGCGTGCTAGATGTCTACTAGTCGGGGTGATGTGGTGTGTTGGGTTAAGCGATAGGGAGGATCGTGCGGAAGGATTCGATGGTGTCATTTAATGGGGTTTATCTATCTAGGTGTCTACTGGTTAATGGTTTGGTACCTATGGGAGTGGGGGGACCATGGTAGTTGGAAAGTTTATTACTTGGTAATCGCTATTTAATCTTTCTTAGATTAGATATCTCGCTATCTGGCTTATCTGATGTTCTTGGTATGGTTAATCTAGGGTGGAATGCCAAGATTGCTAAACGGTCATAATGTACATAACTGAACTAATTATATCGTCAAGTCCACGCCTCCCAGCTCAATCCATCACGATACTGCAATCCCACCTGCGGCCCCTCTGCCGCGATAATATATCCATTCTCACAGGCCGAATACGATACCTTGGGCTGAATGGTATAGAATCCATCGTACTTCAGATCCAGCGCATCCCTTAGGCTATCTACCGACCCATCAGGATGCAGCACTCGCCATGGCTGAATGCAAGTATTGCCTTGGCATGATTTCAACACCAGGAGGAGCGCGTCAACGCGATCGATCACGCGGGAGAGAGACCGGCCTAGCAACTCCACAGAGCCTAGTCTAGGGTATAGATTGTTCATTTGGTAGGGATCCGTCTGATACTATTAGCTTCGCCTCGATATGCGACGAGTACATACCGATAGATCGTATAACTCGTGGTCCCCGTCACACCAAACCGAGTAGTATAGGTTGTATTCCTCCGAGAGAATCCTCGCCGATTTGTACGTGTTATTCGGCATAGCAAACGATCCTCCCGGTCCTGCATCGTCAGTACTCATCCATAACAGCGACAAAAAGACTTACCAATAGACCCGTACTCTCCCTCCAGCACCGAATGCCCCCAGAATTCCACCGTAACATGCTCATGCAGGATCGACTCGGACTTTTTGTTCCCCGACACCGGCATCGGAGTCCCGTCAAAGTCCGCTCGCAAGGGCACCCCAGCCAATTCAAACAACGTAGGCGCAATATCAATATGCGTAGTCACATGGTCAACAGTCTTCCCCTCGGGGACACCAGGACCACGAATGTAAAACGGCACACGAATATCCTCTTCATACCCCGTCGTCTTCCCCGGCGGTAACCGATGGTGACCAATATGATACCCATTATCCGCACTGTAGATAATGTAAGTATTATCAATCTCACCGCTCCGTTCCAGCCGCATGATCAGCGCATCCACCATTTCATCCACGGCCTGCAAAGCCCGCAGACGCTGGCGGTAGAGATGGTCCTCATACTCAACAACCGTCTGATTCTGCAATTCCAGAGTAGCCACCCACCCAGCCCCCGAATCCTACATCGTCAGCATCCCCCTCCACCTCCACCAACCACCACCAGGGTACACACCTTCAGAGGATTAAAATTCGCCGTTCTCGGCACCTTCGCATCCGCAAACAAACCCGCATGTCTCGGTGCCGGCAACGGCTCCGTCATCTTCGGCGCGCCCGGCCCCGATCCCTCCACATCGATATTCGTATGCGGCGCGATCGGCGCGACCGTCAAAAAGAACGGCGCGTCGCTATCCAGCGCATCATCCAACAGCCCCAAGGCCTTTTCCCGCATCACATCCGTAGTATATTCCCCCTCGTAGCTGTGCGGAGGCTCATGGTTTCGCTGATAAGTCGAGTTCCAGTAGGAATAAGTATACGGATCGAGCAGGAAGTCGGACCCATTGAACCCGTTCACAAATGGCGCATTATACGTCGACAAACTATGCGCGTTGAATAATTTCCCCGTGTAGAAGGTATTATAACCGACAGATTGCAGCCAAACGGGGAGGAAGTTGTCGTTGAATCCTTGGGCGACGAATTTCGGGTATCCCCCTACACCATATTAGCTTTGCGACCGATACCAATACCGATACTGGGAATCAGGAATACCATAAGGCGGCTTCACATCCGTGACATTGGTATTATGCGCCTGTCTACCAGTCCAAAGACTCACTCTGGACGGACAGCAAAGCGACGTAGTAACAAAATGATTTTGAAACTCAGTTCCCTTTTCCTTAATCTTCGCCTGCGTCAGCGGCATATACGCCGGCGAGTTCATGCGGAGATCCTGATCATCGGTGAGGATGAAGAGGAAATTCGGTTTGCGATTCAACACCGTTGACTCTTCGAGCAGCACCTGCTGCGTGGCGAAAGCCTGACATCCCCCGATCAGAGCCAACAGAGGCAGGAATATCATGGTGGCTGACAATACACTCTGTGGTTTCTCTGCACGCTGGACTGATAAAGCTGGGTTTGGGTGGTTGTCAAGGCGGTGATGGCGACGCAACGGGACGGGATAACGCCATAGCTTTCTTCTCCCTCCCCACTCTCGGAACCTTCACCTTTCAGTTTTCATAGAAGGAAGAGTCGGTGATGAGAACCTCGTGGATAGTGGATCACGGCTTTTAGGGGCTGATGGCATCACGGTCAGCCAATTATGTCTGTCCGGGCTGTGTCGGTGTCAGTGCTATCCGTCCCACCTGCAGGTCGGCTATGAGAACTGAGAACTAGAAGAGACCCTCTGGCAGTTAAGTCACCCACATTGGTTGCTGAGATACTCCAGGTTTAGCTATGGACCCCTGGAGAACCCGGGAAAGAGTCGGTATTGATTGTGGTCGCTCCACTGTGGACCTCGGCTACAGATTACGTGCTTGCCTCTAAGATGAGATCATGGATCCTGCGATAAGACAAGGTCAGATCAGGCCATTTGTGTCGCGGACTATCAGCAAGGTGCTACTTTGGGTGGATTCCAAGGAATCGGTGTCAGGAACAGGGATTGACCTTGCATGAACAGGAATGCGGTATATCTGTATATCCGAGGTTAATTCCGAATATTTCGGTCGCAGTATATCACATGACCTCATATGGCACAGTCCTCCATAATTACCACCATATATCTGAATGACATTCATCTACGATGTACCCATCACCGCCATGTATCAGTCACCGTCGCAGTCGATGTGCCGCACGCTTGAGGGACAGTGTATTCCCGGTTCGGGTCGCTCTCCCATACCACTGTGCCATCCGACTCAACCTTGATGAACTTGTACTCGAACGACTCGCCTGCGGGCAGGCTCACCGTCACATACCACAACGGGTCGCTGGAGGTGTACTTGTCCGCACTCAGCGCCACGGCGTCACTGGTATCCCAGTCACCCAGCTGCGAGATCGACCCGCTCAGGTAGATATTCTCCCCGTAGGTGGTGGTCTCGGTCAGATCAAAGGTCACTGCCACGGCAGTAGGAGTGCTGCAAGAGGTCGTCGTCTTGCTTGCAGTGGTGGTGGTCTTGCTGCTCGTGGTAGATTTCGCACTGCCTGTGCCCGTGGCAGTCGTCGCAGACGTGGTACCACTAGCCACGATCGTCGGCCACGAGGTGACAGTCACACTGCTGTAGGTGCCAGAGGCAGACGTAGCCGCACAGGTGCCGATCACGCTGCTGGCAGAGGTCTCACCCCAGGAAGCCGGCACAACGGAGTTACGGCGGTTGTTGGCAGTCAGCAGAGCAGCATACGACCAGGTCAAGTCGCGGGCAGAGAGTTCCAGGCCATCCGACTTGCCGAACTGCTCGGACAAGGAGCCGTTGGAGGCCGCATGGGATTCCTGGTCGATTAGCATGCATCAATAATATACCAGTTGCAGACTTACGACAATAGAAACAAAGCCATCCGCAAAAGTCTTGACGGCATCCACAATGCTGCTGTAGGTGGCGCTGGATGAGGAATACGTGCCCGTTGCGGCATCACTGTACAGCGCCTGGAAAAAGTCCAGCGACACGTCGGTCACCTCCAGAGACCCCTGCTTGTTCCATTGGTAGAGCGCGTCGTACAGCTGCTCCGCCGCGGCCAGTGTGCACAAGAACCAGGGGTTACCGTTGTAGTACGAATCCTCGGGGTACCGACCAACCGCCACGGCCTCGCTGGTAGTGTAGCCATCGTTGATGGTGTAGATCGACCGGAACGAGTCGACCACCTCCTTGTGGTTGGCAAGCGCACGCGGCGAACACGGCTGGAAGGTCGTGTCATCACATGCAGCCTCAGGGTCAAAGGTGTGGATGCTTCCCAGGAGGGTGTTCGCATCCTTGCCAGAACGACTGCTATCAAAGTTGGCCAAGATGTATTCGCCCGTCCAGAAAGACTGCAGATAACAGAGGATCTCAGGGGCCTGTGAATCGCACCACGAGCAGGACGAGCCGACGCTGGCCGCGAAACTGCTACCTTCCACCAGGGCGCGGTGCTGCACAGCGATGGTAAAAAAAGACGAACCATTCACTTCCTCCCAGAGATCTGCGACCGCTGTTAGCCCGTCTTCGTCCAGAGTATTTCCTGCACCCACCATATCCCGTCTGGTTCCAGTATTGCGCCACATACGACAGATCGTTCCGAACCAGGGGCCAAACAATATCGGTCGCGACACTGGTGTAGCCATTTTCCTAACCGGTCAGCTTGGCCACACATCACATGCAAGGGGGCATACAATCAACCACTGGCCAAAGTCGATCATCGCGGTGGCTCGCAAAGCCGGGCCATCCCGCTGAGGCCGTCCCCAAGACCCCGTGAAGGCCGTCTCGTCGACATTGAACTTGGGTTCTCCCAATCCACCCGACGAGAGGTCTCCAGAGGGGTTGCTAATGCCTTGGACGATTGCCTGCGACGAAATGTAGTGCTCGATGGTGGAGAGAAGGGCGGAGTCTCCATTTCTGAAGAGATCGACTAAGGTCTTGATGACAAGGCCAGAGTCACGGGTCCAGGTGTAAAAGTCTAAAACGTCAGCATTGATTCCATCCTGCCATCGCGGAAACCTACAGTCTGGGTTATCCGTGCTGGGACTGGCGACGACAATGCCCGAGTCCGCGCCCGAAACCCACGCGCCGTCCGCCCCGATGTTATTCAGGATGGCGGTACGCGCCACGGTCGCTTCGCTGCTAAGCCAGGAATCTAGAGTCGCCCGCTTGGGCAGAACACCGGCCAGGCCCGAACAAACGAGGCCGCTCACGGTGAGAAGAGATCGAAGCGACATGGTGATGGTTGTCGGAGTCAAGACGAGTCACTTGCGGGATGAGTGAGCCTTGAAAACCGACCAACCCTCAATTTATAACCACTCGCCGCGTGAGGGGAAAGCACATGCAGCACCTGCAACACCTGCAGCTATTGCAATGCAACATCGCTTAGCAGCTAGCCTGAAGAGCTGCAGGAATGTTGCCACTCAGCTTGTGAAGCGGCAGGAACCAGGCGATGAATCTCCGGTGGCGTTGCTGGCCAGCCTATCGCCGTGTCGGGCCGGCCCGGGGGAAATTACGTCGCCTCCACCGATGTGCTGCTGTTGCTGCCATTGCTGACCATCGCTGCAGTTCTCTTCCCACACGGCCAATTGCCGGCTCGCTTACACCGTCTGCAATTTTACTCAGTCCGGGGATTCCCCGTCCCTGGTCGTGCATGGACGAATGATTGGTTGCCAGCCAGGCTGGTCTAGTATATGACATATTAAGGTACCTGGATCGCTTCCAGGGCGTATATATATTGCCGAGGCACAACACGAAGACTCGACCCTCCGGATCCCCCCACCAATCGCATCTCAAATATGGAACGCCGCTGTATTCTGCAGGATGAATTCATACGTCCCATTCCGGAAATCATCCGTGAGCAGGCTGGCGTTGTTTGCCCCGAAATTCATCAGCTGCCGATTATCCTTCCACTGCGGCCATTCCATGTACTCCCCCCGGTTGGAATTCGGGTCCAACGTATACACAAAGCTCAGATAGTACGTGTGAGACGAGCTGGCCGCATAGTTGGGCTTGATCCCATAGAATACCTGCAGCAGGTCACTTCCGTGGAAGGTCCCCAGGATCGGAGTGCCATAGTCATACGTGGCGAGGTACGACCAGTTCGGGAGCTCCGGGGATATCTCCGCCGCATACGACAGGAAGGCCCGTCGGGTAATTGTGAAGACCAAGTCGCCAAGAATAGCTGCCAGTCGTTTAAACTGTGGATACCAGTTGTTGGCCGTGCCGGTCCGGAACGGGGATCCATATGTCGTCGTGTCAGGGTAGAGGGCCACAAGCTCTTGCAGCTGCTCCTTGCTAGCGTCGTAGAAGAAAACGGTGGACAGGTACTCCACCACTTCGTCGATCGTCGTGATGTTGGACTGGAACAGGGCGAACAAGGTCCCCTCGTCTTCCTGGTCGCCCACAATAAACGGCACCCGCGCGTACTTTCCTGCCTTGCCCAGAACGTCCGGTGACGCCGTCAAGGCCGTGCCGTCCGGACGGGGAACATATGACAACGCCACCGAATTGTACCCGATGATGCCTGGCACGGAGTTGGCCGCATTGAGGAAGTCGGTGTAGTCTAGCTCGCGCAGACAGGTCAGGGTGTCGTTGGCAGAGGAACAGCCCGCCGTCGACACCACTGTATCATACACTTCCTGTCCCTTCACCCCATCCACGGCATCCGCCGGAACCACACTGCCCGAGTCCATAATGGCACCCCGGAACAGGGGCTTGTCCTTGTAGGTGATGTTTCCGTCATACAGGATCATCTGGTCAAAGACCGAGATAGCTCCGGCGGATTCTCCCCAAATAGTCACCTTGTCGGGGTCTCCCCCAAAGGCCGCGATGTTGTCAGCAACCCACTCCAGGGCAAGGCGTTGGTCGAGGAGCCCTAGGTTCGCGGAACCATCCTCCAGGATCTCCTTTCCGGGAAGGAATCCGAACCCCCCCACGCGATAGTTCATCGCGACGAACACGACCGGCATGTTCAAGTTGATGGACGAGGTGACCATCGTTGTTCCATCATACATGGCCTTGGACCCGAGTTCAAAGCCTCCGCCAAAGATCCAGACGAGCACGGGCAGCTTCGAGTCCGCCGTGGTTCCGGACGGACGTCGGATGTCAATGTTCAGACAGTCCTCACCAGCATTGGTGGCGGCCTGGACCAAAGGGTTATCCGCGAGCAGGCCTATGATGGAGGTCGGAAATGAGTCGTCATCCGTGGTAAAGTACATCTGCGGACAGGACTGGGAGGCGCCGGTTGCTTGAACAGTGCCGAGGGCTGTCTCCAGGGGTTGCGGAGGTTTCAGACGCAGGGAGCCCGTGGGCGCCTGTGCAAAGGGGATGTTGTTAAAGGTCTCAACATCGCCGGCCTTGCCAATGATCGTGGCAGCTGGATTGGCGATGGTGACGGTGGGTGCTGCATCCCGCTTAGTCGGGGAGGCCAGCACACCGAGGGAAAGGGAGAGCCAAAGAAGGGCCTTCATGGTGCCTGGATCAGTACCTTGATGGATCACAACACTCGAATGGGGCCAAAGAGCTATATATACAGCTGCATCTTTGCACCTTCGTTTCAGTTGTCGAATCCACCAGGACTACTTTGTGCACGGTCCTGAGGCCGGCATCCCCAGTTCCATGGATTTCAACATCGCCATGTGCGTCCTCGGCTGTTGAGCATATAGAGCATGCTGGATTTTGAGCGCAAAGACAAACCCCGACTGCTGCTGCCAACCAGCATAGTCCATGTTGGTCAGGAGACTTCCCATCAGGGGCAAGGCAGCATCGTTTCGGAGGATATCGCGCCAACCGGGTGGTCCAGAAACACGAGAACCTATTTTCATGCGCAAACCGAGGTTGGAACAGAGGGTCCCCTATCAGTCGATCAGCAAGTGCGTTTTCGGACAGCCATGCTAGCATTCTGTTGGTCGTCCGAGCTGCATCAGGATGATCCAAGACCTCTTCCCCGCAGTTCGGAACTGCACACGTCCTGCCCTGCGGGGAAAGGAGCCTCGACCGTGGCACATTGGTTGTCGACTCGGGGTTGCACCCGCAGCATCCAATACTTCCCTTCGCACGTGTGGTGGTGGTGCAAGCCACGATGCCGGGTGCAGCCGTGAGGAATGTTGAAGAGAAGCGGAGTGAGAATCCGACCCAAGAAACGATGCACGGAATCAGATGCCCGTCCGGGTCGTGGGCCGGCGATCGTCGGCTACCGAACCACGCCCAAATTATAGTCCAAAACATTATTATGATTGATGATTGATGGTACAGCCAGGCTAAGAATAACTCCAGTCCCAAAATCAGGTCAACGCCCCTTAATTTTACATGCTTCCCCGCCCAAAATCAGTCTCCTACCATCCCATTTATTTTTCCCATCCATTCCATCGTTCAAAATCCCCCGTGTCGAGATCAAATAAATCCAACATGCGCCCGACGCTCTGATCGATGAGCTCTTCGATCCCCGCGGCCTTGATGTAGAATGCTGGCACGGGCGGAAAGATGACGGCGCCAGCGCGTGTAACCTCCAGCATGTTTCGAAGGTGAATCTCGCTCAAGGGCGTCTCGCGCGCCACCAGGACCAACCGCCGGCGCTCCTTGAGCATCACATCCGCCGTCCGGGAGATCAGATCGTCGCAAAAGCCGGAATGGATAGCCGCCAGGGTTTTCATGCTGCAAGGTACCACAATCATCCCGTCGGCACGGAAGGAGCCGCTCGACACCGGGGCAGCCATGTCGTTGATGTTGTGCACGTGGTCGGCCAGCGCCCGCACGTTGGAAGGATGGTAGTCGGTCTCGTACTTGATCGTGGCCTCCGCCCATTTGCTTAGCACCAGATGGGTCTCCACGTTTAAACGACGCAGCGCGATCAGGACTTTGATTCCGAGCAAGGCGCCCGTGGCGCCCGTCATGGCCACCACAATGCGACGTCGGCGGGGCGCGGGTCGGGCAACAGCCACTTGATCATGTTCGTTGGTCATTTCACTGGCGAGAGGGGATGCGCGACCGGAGTTGGGTGTAGCGGTACCGGAGAGGAGTGAATTAAACATTTGTGTTGGTGGTGCTGGGATCGGAAATTCGTATACTGTAGGATTGTTTGTGGTGGTTTGGTTTGTGTGGGTGTGAATGCACTGTCCTGCAACTGTCGGGGATGGCTGTCACGTATATATAGAGATCAGTGGCAACCGTTAGCTCTAGATGCAATTAAGGTGATTATTCTCCGAGCTGCAAGCTTTTCTTTGGGTCATTCATTGTCTGGGCCATCCAGCTTCACCCGGAATCTCGGGTAGCCCCGAGACCCCGAACCCGAGGGTCCGAGTTACGTCATGACTCGCTCAGAGAAAGTCCAACTCCTTGGAGAGGTCAAACAGCGGCACTGTCTTTATTAGCTCGGGCAAACAGTGTCGGAACTCGGCATACCGTTCATAATCGAATCAAGGTATGTTGTAGGCGAAAAGTCCTGGCCAAAATCATCCGGGAACCCGTTAGGCATTCTGCGAGATCAGCATCCACCACAGCTCCACACAACAAAGTGGGTGCATACCCGTACGCCGGCACAAATGACTCGAGCTGCTCCACGCGTTCTGTCCCGACATTTCCGTCCTCCTTTTCTCGGTCAACCGCCGTCCGCACCGCGTTGCGCAGGGTAATCAACGCCCGTATGTGCCGTTCTGATAACCATTGTCTGTTCTCCGATGTCGAATTCTCCACTGTGCCCGAGCCTGCTGCAGAAAAGACCTCGATTACTTTCTGCTGCAAATCACGGCATTCAGCATCATTCCGGGTCTCCTCCCAGATACAGAGGAGCAGAGTGGAGCTAAGGACGGTGTGGACCATTGACCAGCTCCGAAGAGGAACCACACTCAATGCCTGGAAGTCTAAAAAGGCTCTAGACGCGTCGATCAGGCTCATCTTGGCGCGTGTCCGTAAGATGTCATACGACGAATCTCGTACTGCAGTGCGTTTCAGTGCCGGTCGAGTCAACACAGATATGGCTAGAGACACGTGCATTTTCAACGCCATATGCTCTAAGTTGTGGTGCAGTGTTTTGCAATCCTGGCGGTCTCGCAGATGTGGCTGCGTGTGCTGATACAGACTGTCAATGGTGGTCAAAATATCCAACTGCTGCGCACTTTGCTGTATCTCAAGGCCGTCGGTTGTAATCATCCCCAGTGCTATGCGACATAGAAAATACATGGCTTCCGTATAAGACAAGTCGCTTCTCGAAAGGATGGAATAATCTGGAGCCCACCCGGTTATAGAGACAACTCTAGGGCGGTCGTAGCATAGGCAGAGCAGGCAGTCTTGCCAGACGACAGTGAACCTATACCATGTTAGCTTGTGTCTATCGCATATGACTCAGTGCCCACCATAAACGCCGTGCTTTGCTCTTCAAATGATCTGGCAGGTGTGCGACACTCTTCTCGGTGTGAAGACCCAGTGTCTGCGCAAGACGGACCGTCGTTCCTAACAATGCCCATGCTGCATCCGACTGCCCACTATTCTGTAGCGTATTTCCCACAATGAGAAGTGCTTGGATGATGTCCATGGTCGGACGGAAAAGGAAGTTGGCCAGCCGAAGGGCTTGGAAAGATCGCCTGGCTTCTTGTTGTGAGTGCAATGATCACGAGTGATACCCGATAACATACCGAAATCCTGACATAGTTCAGATCTTTGGATGTAATCTAGATCAGAATAATGTGCACCCGAAGCCAATGTCGCAAGTAGCAGACTGATGAGTCCGACAGACCGATCGGTGGCCCAGCGTTCGGAGATTTGTGCAGTGTCCTGCAACTCCCCTGCTGCGAGGGAATTGAGGTACGAACAGACGTCCTGCTCAAATCGTTCAATATCTATGATTATAGGATTAAAGGGGTATGCCGATATACGATAGAAATGAAAAAACCTGACACTATGTTAGAGGGTCCACGAACAGCGCAGAATATGCTTACTTTAACAGTTCCGCTCGCTGCGGGAGAATCCGTACAAGTTCTTTCCATCGATCTTGAGGTGTCCTGAACTCCATGAATGGGTAACTACCGTAGGTGTTTTGCAGTCCCAGAACAGAGCCCACTTCACGGGCCATGGAGCCATTGGTGTCTTGAGTTTGATGGCGGAGGATGGACACCACCGAGTTATCGCCCGAATAGACAAGGTCATTATCAGGACCATCCGATGAGGGAATCCGGGGTGCATAGTACTGTCTCGGCTGCGACTGGGTCTCGGACTGACTGCGAACGGAAGGCTGGATCTGAGGCTCGAGATCGGGTCCCTCCGGGGTTCGAGTCAAATCATGAGGAGCCGTGGAGCGACGCTGCTGGCCCGCATTACGGGCCGGCTTGGAACCAGACAGATCTTGATCATATACACAGATTTGAGGATGGCCGCGCCGACGACAAGTTCGACACGGCACCGTGTTATCACATTTGACCTTGCGCTGGCGACAAGGATAACACGCCCGAGCCTCGCGCTGGTTGCGTTTCAACCGCAGCACGCGATCGATCTCTTGACGGTCAATAGGAGCAGCCATCAGTATCTACTGCCGGTGGATTCTTAGTCCGATAAGCTCATACTCCGCTTGGACCCTTGGGAAGGAGATGTCAGTCGCGGTGATGGCTGCGTTCCGCCGCGGATCTGATCGGCTTCTCGGTTCCGAGATGAGTCAGCAACGGTGGGGAATCCAGCTTCAACCCCAACTGGGGTCAAATAGGGGGATGGAGCTTTAGAAGATTTAGCTGTTCGAAGATGCTGGGTATTTGCTTGGAGAAGCTAAATGGTACTGTGAAGCTTTTGAATTGCCCGGGGAATGAAGAGAAGTTCCACTATATATTATGTCAAGGGTAGATCGAGTTTCCACAAGACCATCCAAATTGGGAAGAACGAACTACTCTAGTAGTTCTCTAGTAGAGATCTCTATTGTTATATACCGATTACCGTTCGAACACCACCGTGACCTGACGCTGAAACATCTGGACCGGTTTTTTTCGCTTGAGATCCGGTTCACCTTGGACGCGGTGTGCGGGGATGGAATCTAGGCAACCGATGGTGTCCTATTGGCCCATACTTGAGGGGCAATGATCAGCGCTCCAAGATCGAATTTGACGGGGTTATCGATGTCAAGAAAATGATCGTGGACCCTGAAATACACGGTATTCGAGAAAGCCGCGAAAAGATGAATGGGCCGATCGTACGGGTAATTCGATTCCTCATCCTGCTGGTTCCGAGGGGTTGGACGGGAATCCTGGTTTTGGGATGTGCTAATAGTGCCATCGAAGGAAAAGAGTTTATATTTAGCAAACCATCTCAGTTGGGTTGGATTAGGGGATGTGATGTGGTCAAGTCATGCCGTTCTTCCGATGATCTTATAACTCAGTCTGTCGGCCGAACCCCCGAGGCCGAATGCCGAACAGCGACTGGTGAAGGATGAATAAAGCCAGAGACCCATCCATGCCTAGTGTTGACCATGCCGACCTACTGCTTATAGCTGCGGCAACTTCAGAATGTCCGAGCACCATTCCTGTCCAAGTTAGTCAATAATTCTGCAAACATACATTCGGCATTTGACGCTAGGTCAGACTTGCTCTAGTGCATATTGTTTGAACTAGCGTGTTATTGGGTTTCAAAATGTGGAAACCCTTTAATTAGTTGCCCAAGATAATGTTACTATCCAAGGCAAACAAATGATGCCAGTATGGAATGGCAATCACTGACCAAATGCAACTCTGACAGAAAATGTCACAACACAAAGCATTTACCCAGGCGATTCCCATGTGACAGTGGAAGGACCTGTACTGACAAACCACGTGATCCGTAATCTACAGTGAAGTAAAGCTGAATGTGAACAAAGAGTGTTCTCAAACAGTCCTAGTGTGTTCCCTTGTGTTGGTATACGACTCATAATCATGTTGATACACCACCTATGATGCCCCGAACCAAAGATACTGGGATGCATGTCATATCTCGTCTACTGGCACCATTTCGAGCAACCATGGCAGAAGAGGAAGACAGCAAGGACAACCCTATTGCAAGGTTTGTATGGCTCTTCTCAGAGTTAACAAGCTGACTGGAATAGCCTGTTCCTGAGCTCCGAGGGCAGCGACGTGTCCATCATCTGCGGAGACAGAATCTTTCCTGCCCACAAGAAAGTCTTGGTCAAACACTCGGCGTACTTTAAATGTGCCTGCCATGAAAAGTGGAAGGTAACAACACTTTTCATTTGTTATGTGACATAGAGTCCACCCGAGTCAAGCTGACAGCCGGCTCAGATCCTAGGGGAAGACAAGAAGAACATTGTCCTCAATGACAAGCAGCCAGTGCTGATTGAGAAGATGCTCGAGTTTCTCTACACTGGAAGCTACAGTGCCGACACCATTGGCTTGACCGTTCCCGATCTGCCTAATGAACGTCTGAATACTATGATCAAAGATATGGATGATCCCAACGGAATCGTTTTCCCTGATGACGAAATATATGCACCCTGCTTGCACGCCATGATGTACGCTCTAGCTGTCTACTATGAGATTCCTAAGCTGGAGGAGGAGACCGTCAAGAATTTCAAGGAGTCATTTGGGCAGATCCGCGATCAGGAAGGGTTCCAGGCCGCAGTGATCGAAGTGTATTACTCGACCAAAAAGGAGCGGAAGCTTCGAGACTGCGTGATTGACATGGTGCTTCGCAATCTGGAATATCTGTTTCGAAAGGAAGGAGAACCTCAGATCCTTGACCAGGAGATTCTGGATTACGTACCAGAGTTTTGTCGGGACATTTGCATCGCGAGTATGATGGCGAATCGAGGATTTCAGCTCGAAATGGTCCAGTACGCATGCACACACATGCAGATGAAAGAGAAGGTGGCCAGAGTGGGAAGAGAGAATACTGCACTGCGATCTGAGCTTTATCAGTACAAGAGGAGTGCTGGTGAGTTTGGCAAGTCGGTCACCCGTGACTGAGGAGTTGGTTTCTCGGCGTTCAGTTGCATGTCACTCTGCTCTTAGTTGTGTTCTACTGCTATTTACTTATTGTAGCGCATGATAGGTTCAGAATTCTGCTTCATCCATAGTTATGCCATCACATGACAGTCTCTCTACTTTCTATAGCAAGGACTCCACCGTCTTCCCCACGTCTCCCTCTTACAAGCTATTCCCCCCCTCGCGTCTCCCCTACCTCACCCTCTCCTGTACCAGCCGACTCTTTCAAATGACAGGCCAACCAGAGAAGCCTCCTCCCTGGACACGCGCCTTTCAAATGACCACAACGCCAACGAAGACACCAAAGACCGGTAAGAAGGCTCCAGCATGACACGGCGGTAGAGGGCCATACAGAATCTGAACTGAAAACAAAGCCAGAGGCAGGATATATGACCATCTCAAGATTAGGCGTACTCTTCCGCCGTCCTCGTAAATTCCTCACATCCCAAGCCTGTTCTTAAACACCAAACGGAGCGACCTTACAATCGTCCGCGGAGAACGAAAGTTTCCTGCGCACCGATGCATCGTCTGTTCCCAGTCTAGCTACTTTTCTCTAGCCTGTGATGGCAACTTCAACGTACCCCAAACACCCCTCCTTATGAACAAAGTCCACAACTAACACATACTGCAACCCCAGGCATCATGCAGAAAAATCAAAATCAAGGACGTCGAGCCTATCCTAGTCGACGAGAAGACGCTTCAATTCCTCTACACCGGCGATTACACAATGAAGAGCGACATGCCTGCTTTCACAGAAAGGTTTGGCCAGCCCAGTACTCTCGCTAGTCCTGACTCCCAGAGCCGATCCGCAAACATATGTGTCCCAAATATCTGGCTTGCCTTCAGTCAATAAGCGACATTTTATTCCCTCAAATGAGCGTCACATTGATGATGAGAAAAGGCTTGATCGTGCTTGCAAGTTTGTCAGAGTAGAGAAATCATTTCACTCATGAACCCCAATGAAGTAGGCATCCACACAAAGGAACGATCATAAGTCTCCAGAGCAACCATAAACTTTGGTGACGAGCTGCCCATATTAGTCATGCCTCAAGGGACCTATTTACCAATTAATTTACTCAAGTAATGTTTATAGTGCATTCCTACATACACCACGTCAAACGGAGATCAACAATACGAGACTTTCCGACTATGGCAGGGAGTCATAGTAACATGTGATCTTTACAATTCATTAACTTTGTATAGATTAGAACAGCAAGTCAAGCGAAAAGTGATACCCCGAAGCCATTGGCACCAACTGCTGGCTCTTTCCGAGACGATATCTTATACTGCATGGATTATAGTTTGAGTACCTGACCACAAAGAAATTAGTCTTTCCCAAGCCGACGCGGTTCCGGTTGTTCTCCTGGATACGAAGGTCTATTGTCAGGTCCTCCTTTGTTATCCTTTGTATTGGATGGTCCCGGCAATTCTTCTGTCTTCAATGAGACAAAGCAGTAATGAACATCTGCAACTCCAGGTAGTCCAGTCAAGGAAGGAATCATGGTGCCGGATAAGCTCCATCGATTTCACCCCGTGACATCAACCCGTGACATCCTGCCATTTCTTTGTTTCGGACTTTCCCTCACTTTGTAGATTTCCCCTTTACCCCCCTTTGTCTCTTTGTGACACCCTGCGATGTTCCCCTTGATTGGATGTCGAATGTACAATGTCGATGGATGCAGGTATCTAAAACTCCCTTCGCAAACAACAATCCCAAATGACAAATTCCGGGTCTAATATACGAGCAATGAGCTTCACGTTACACCCATATACTCCCTAGGGTTTACGATGGAGATAACCGAAACAAGCCAAACACAGATTAAAATCTAGATGCATCTAGTGAAGTGTTGCAAGTCTATATAATGTCCCTCAAGACCCCCTGCACTCATCTTTCCCGTTACCCACTCATCTCTCCAGAGTTCCCCAAGCTCCTATCCTTTTGATCCAACCCACATCAGACTCCGCCAGTTTTTCTCTGCTCCAAAAACAAAATCATCTCTTACAAAATGTTGAACTTGCGAATTGAGATTGAATCACTCGTGGGGCTGAAGCCCAGAGATACCCAAAGTCTCAACGGTCAATGGAACAAGAGCGAAGGATTCAATAAGTTCATTGATTATTTGAACTTGACTGATGGTCCCCGTATCATCAAACATGGCCCCGCATCAAGCAATGCATACTCATGGAGCATGCAGTTGGACGAGTCGCTGTCTGGTGACGGAAGTGAGTAATCCCTATCCCTCCTATATTTTGATTAATAACTAACTTGGTTGGATAGGTTGTACCGTTATAATTCGGTTTCCGGACATGTTTGTTAATGAAGACAGCAACTGGAGAGAAGACGTCCGTTCTTTCTGGGCAAAGTTGAACAATGCCTGCGAATTCGTATTCGTCAACACCCTCCCAAAGCAAAAGGTGACAATTCGGCCACTGGAGCCGAGTGTTGGTATTTCTCAATTCAAAGCATGGGCACATGCCTGGATACACTTTTTTGAAACCAACATGATGATGGCTGGGATGAAGAAGGATGTCTTTAAAATGAGTCCGGAAGAGAAAGGAGGGCTTTCACAACAAACTGGACGACTGTGAAAAGGAGAAAGAAGCTTTCAAGGTTGTTAAGGATTACGCGGAAACGACTCTGGGATGCAGATTGGAGGACATTGAAAAACGCTTCCCCGAGATATACATTACTCCGAATGCTCTGATGTATAAGAAGCTCCCTCTATGGGTGGAGTACTTCGTTTGGTTCGCTAAGGCATCACTGAGTATTGAGAATACTCGTCTTTTCAAGTACCAGAAGGATATTAAAGGCCTCCAGAAATTTATAACGGAGAATGTTCCTGAAGCTGATCTTGACTTGAATCAGGTTACCTCAGAACCTGGCTGCGGACCTGTGGCATATCTGACGCACAACTTGTTTACCGAGGAAGTGCAGTAGAGTATCTTGTCTGGCACCACTTCGATAATGTGGGCTTTGGACCTACTTTGCCTTGCTTTTGCTTGTTGCTTGTTTTGCGCCCACTATGTCACTCATTCCTTACCTAGTTGCTACAAATTGTGATTTCATCAATTATCTGTATGGTTTTTGTTTGTTTCTGAACCGACTGAGTCACTCTTTTCTTAACTAGTCGCTACAAATTGGTATTTCAGTGTTTATCAAATATTCCCGAAGTTCATTCTCGTCGTAGACTTATAACATAGACCTACCAGACTTCGCCCTTAATAAGAGTAATACTATCGACACAAAGTAGTCAAACGTGAGCGTTTGGACCACTGATTAGTCTTGTGAATATCTGCGTAAAGGAACTGCATGGACCGTCATAACAGTAAACTTGCGCAGAAGAACATACCCGAGCCAGGATGTTCTACCATATATATACTAATGATCACTTACCACATCCTTCTGCCATACCGTTCAACCCATATTACAATATAATAGGGCGAGTGCCCCTACATAGCTAACATCATATATAGCGGGGTTTATTAGGCCAATGGAATAGAATATGACTTGATTTGATTAATAAGATGAGTGATAAGTGGGACCAATTCAGGACATACTTCCCATCATAGCCCTGATACTCTTGGAATGTAATTCATATCCATAGTGATTTAATCTCCATAGGCATAATAGTTTGGAGGGTTTGTGGCTTGAACATAGACATTGTACCAAAGATTCAATACAGTGATTGTTCAGTACATCCTCGTTTTATTCATACCCATCTAGGTTTCTCTCTTTTCTGGCTGCTCTCCCTCCTCTCCATCTCTTATACGTGATACTTCCATGAAACCTCCCTTTACTCTGAAATACAATGTAATACAACCATCTGCTAAAACACAATGTTCAGCACTTTTACTGCCCAAATAACATAACCAGTAGATATTCACCAACCCTCTAATAATTCCCTTCTAATCAAAACCACCTATCCAAGAACCCAACCTTCTGATTCCTCTTCTTCAACTTCATCCTATCCGTCTCCTTCTCCCTCTCCCCTCTCTCCCTTTCCCCTTATCCTTCCTCTTTCCTTTCTCCTCCCTATTCCTATTCCTGTCCCTACGTGTCTCTTCCTCCCCATCCCCCCTCACAAACCCAAACATCACCTTCTTTTTCCCCTTCCTCCTCCCCTTTCTTCTCCTCTTCTCCCCTCCTCCTTATCTTCTTCCCCCCTCACCGAAACAAAAACCACCCTCTTCCCCGTCTCCGCATCCGTCACCGTTCCATCTAGATTACATTAGCCCTTATCCACACCCTACCCCCACAACCCCCAAATCCCCCCCTATCCACATCCAAAAAGGGTAAAAAAAAAAAAAAAAACTCACGTCTATAATTCTGATGCACATAATAAGCATGTCCACATTCATCGCACGCATCATTCCGATTCACTTTTCGGATTTCGCGACTGCAGAGCCCGGAATTACACCTGCAGCAGTGTTTCCGGGAGATATCTTTGTTGTTGGTGTTGTATCGGCAGGGACCGAGGCGGAGGGTTATGGGTTGGTGGTGTGGGTTGGGGTTGGGTGTGGAGGAGGATGGGGTTAGGATTGGGGAGGGGGAAAGGGGTCTGGGCGAGGGTGAGGGAGATCGTTCTGGTTCGGGTTCTGGTTCGGATTCTGGTTCGGATTCTGTTTCGGAGTCTGATGCCCATTCGTTTTCGGATTCGGATTCAGATTCGGAGTCGGGTGATTCAGGAGAGGTAGAGGGAGAGGGTTCAGGGTTGGGTTCTGGTTCTGGGTTCTGGGAGAGGCTGTTTGGGATGAGGTGGAAGGGGTTGTAGGATCGGGAGGGGGACATTTTGGTGGGGTCTGAGAGGGAGGGATGAGGTTTAGATGTGGTACTTCTGTTGAGCGGGGTATGGGGTATATATACGGAGGAGGAGGCTGTTCGATAGGGTTTAGATAGGGGATAGCCGATTGTAGGGTATAGATGGAGAGGGTTGGAAGGGAGCTGTATTTTCTTGAGAGGATGATTATGGGAGAATATTGTGTGATAAATAGGATACAAAGAGATGTTGCTTTAGTATAGTGTCAATATCCTTTGATACGGTAGTGTAAACGTCCTCGAGGATGCGATATGTCGTTATTATAAGCAGACGTAGCCTTAATCGCATGTGAGCCATGCTGTATTACCGGCAATCTCATATATTGGCCTGGTAAGCAAGTAACCTGCCTATATTTTCAGCTGACATGGTTTGATTCATAAAAATGCCCTAGGAGTTGTATTGAATCCATTGAGAGCTGGCTGGAGTCAAACGGTCCAGTGGACTCTCAGTGAGTCCCATGGACTCCTGGTTCATTGGTAGGATGTTGTTTGTCAGTCTTTCTCTTTCATCGCATTCACATACTGCGTGGTGTTCAGCTACACAAGCGAGTAAGAAAGTTGAATCAACAGGTCTGAGTCCGGATACTGCAGCAACAAGCTGTCATAACTTATTTCACGATAATGAGAAATACTCACAGCTGCTGAGTGACGGGATATGTCCCTCGCTATGGCCCTAAGTTCCGACTATGCCAAGATATTATCTCCAAAGGCACTGGAACCTAGACCACAAAGAATGCATTCTCAAGAATCCACAATAACAGCCACAATACTCTCTTTGTTCATTGTGCTTTCTTTGTTAGAATGCATTGATTCCCATTCTCTTGCGGGACTCGCCTTCCCACTTCGGAAGGTATCATTTGAGGCCCTCGTATCTCCCTGTCATCTTGCATCCTCATCTTGCATCCTTGAATCACAGCCTCATATTCTTTCAGTAAAACCTGGGTAAGCTCAGTGTTGGTCTCTTTACTTGCGGTAGCAATCAGAGTCCCTCAGAAGAAAATTGATCATATGATACACCCAAAATGGGTCGTCTCCGCGGTGTCAGCCAATAATTGATAAAGAAGGCAAAGACATAGAACGACAAACTACAATCTAAGATAGATCCGATGACTTCCTTCAAGGTATAAAAAACCCCATAGATTCACAGATCAAGGATACCTCGAACACTCACCCAGTCTCTTTCTCAAAACTTTCAGTTCTGCAGTCGTGTCCCTCTGGTTTCTAACTCGTCTTCTGATTCAAGCAAAATGAACATCCCTGAAGAGTTGAACGACGCCAGCGTCGGATCCCAACTCAGGGCGTGGTATTCTGTGGAACAGAATGATACGTTCGCCGAGTTTGTCGATTGGCTTGGCGACAAATATCATGAATGCTCTGAACGTGGGGAATATATTGATATTGAGGCCTCTCAGTCTAACACCCCTCGAGAGTTGAACAAAACCAACATCGGATCTCAAATCAATGCGTGGCTCAACGCCCGTGTGGTACAGAGGAGGGAGATGTTCCTTCAGTTTGCCACGTGGTTCGCCTCCATATATAATTTTAAACTCAAAATCAAAACCCCTCAAGAGTTGAACGAGGTCAACGTCGGGTTCCAAATCAGCGCATCTCTCGACGCCCGTGCGGAACAGTATGATACGTTCAATGAGTTTGCCAATTGGATCGCCTCCAAATATAATGAAGCCTCTGGACGTGGCAAGAATATGGATGGTGAGGCCCGTGACTATGGTGAACTGATTGAGGGCGTTGAGAGAGCAAAATTACCTAAGCTGGTAGATCTTGTATCTGGAAAAGTCAGGGCAGGGGTACTCTCATCATACCTATCAATTGAAGACGAGATAGAAGAAGCACCTTGGGCCGAATCCTGGACAATTAATAAATCACTGGTGAATTTCAAGGGTCCCCCATGTGAGTTCTCCCTCCGATAAAATCCAAGATAGTTCTAATTATTTTCGATAGGGCCAGTCTACATCAACAGCCCTTTGATGTCATACAGGCTGGATGACGAGTCGAAAGGTGACGATTGGAGACTGAAGCTTTCTTCCGTCACGGAAAGAATTCCAGAAATTTGCGATGTGTCCAACTCCAAGTCTAATGAATGGAATATCTTTGTTGCCCCTTCCCAAGGCTGGGACTGTAGGTCTATCAGAGCAATTCGTCTTACGGTGGTGCATTTCCACAGGCAACTGGCGTACCTGCTACAGACCCACATCATGGAAGAAAGTTTCCGGCCTGGCGTGGTCGGGGGCTTCCCAGAATATGACCCGCCGAAGGCCTTTCGCGCAGTTTACCTTCGAGAATTTCATAACGACTTCTATCTAGGATTCAATAACCTCCACAGATACATGCTAACACTTCGTATCTTCGACCATGGTGATGGTGCCTTTGAAGAAATTTACCTCTGGACCCAATTGCTCTCCCGACTTATGGAGGCATCTCTGGCGGTTTCCCCAGAGAAGTTGAAAGAGTATAAGAGATCTCGCGAAGGACTGATCCAGTTCCTCCTGGAAAATTCCAGGTGTTGTGGGTCGGATGACATTATCGAAGCTATAGCGGAGATGACTGTCGAGGAAGGGGAGGTTGAGGAAGACTGAATTCATTCTTTCTCTCTAGAAATGATATTATTATCTCCAAAGGATTTCTCTGAAAACCACACATAATCCAACTAAAGTAAACAATCAACTCGGAACCGGGTCTCGGAAACCGGGACCTCGGAGATCCACCCATCTGTACCCACCGCCCCACATTGGCACTGCCCCTCGCCAGGAACAGCCGGATAAGCTCTCCCCGCGCTGTTGCCGATAAGCCGGTTTACCCAGATATCCCGTATTCACCAACTAATAACAACAAAAAAAAAACATTCTATATATAACCCATGCAAAACACACAACCACTCCTCCCTCATTATTCATCCAAGGCTCCCCTTTCTCTATCACCACCCCTGACACTACATTCATATACTCTTCTACCCCGCATCATCTACCCCATCATCTCCCCAAACAAACAAACAAACAAACAAACAATTCCTTCGCCCCAATTTCCGAAATGACCGTAAAAAGGGATCTGACAGACTCTGAACCCTATTGACTATATATACACCTCCTCATTTTCCCCTGTAGAACCCTGGTATCTCTACTCCGTATACACCTTACTCTAATAGCTTCTCCTCACCCCACCCTACCGAACCCAACTTAACCTAATCTAACCCCTGCATCATCTTCATCACCAACTAAACCCCCTCCTACATGTAGAAGAATACTATCAGGAACCCATGATCCATCCTATCGTATCTGAACACATCGATATACCCTCCCCCCGACCCCTTAGGAGCGAAATAGATATTATATTTATCACGGGACAATAATCCCCCTTGATCTCTCCTCCCCAGATACCACAAATTTAAGAACGCTGACTCAACTAAGAAATTATCCACCGTTCTCTCTGTTCACGTACAATAGGATAAGGATCTTGTTGAAATTTGAATGCGTGTATTACCGGTTCGATAATAAGGGTGTCGTGCGGGGGGATTTATCCATGGTGGATGTAAGGGCGGTGGTTGGTGGGGTGGGGGTGGTGTGTTGAGTGAGAATTTATGTATTATATGGGTTAGAGGAGAGGGGAGTGTGGGAAGGGAAGAAACGGGATGAGTAGACGAGGGAAAAGGAGGGTTAGTATGTGAGTAGTCTGGATATATGGAGTGTTTATATTGCTTATCAATTCGTAGGGTATCTGTAGAGCAGGCCTTCTGGTTAACCCCAGATCCGGAATGGAATCGACGAGTTATAGCATCCAGCATCCAGCCAGTCCCCGGTAATGTTCTGCACCGTTGTTCCATTGCCAAATTCCAAGATCAACCCCCCGTTCGACTGGTTCCCATAGTACGCTGGCCAACCAACCGTCTCACTGACACTCGACGAGCTTTTCAGGAAGGCGAGGAGAAAATCTTGCATCGTAGCGGATGTGTCCACTTCCAGCTGCGAAATCTCACCCACATCCAGGATATACGTGCCAAAGATCATCAACAGGTCGGTCCAGTGAAATGCACCTAGCCATGGCACTGGGCTGATATTCGAGAAATTGCCTGTGAATGTTAGTATCGCCCCAGCTCAAAGGTAGGAGATGACTGACCTGCCCAGTAGTAGCGATACGTCTCCAATCCAATCGATGCGCGCAGTGCGGAATCGGTCACTGCCAAGCAGTCTGCTACACCTTCGTCGACATCAACTGATGTGGTATTCTCGCTGGGAAATTCCCGTGCTGCATCGGACCGAATCGATGGACCCCGGGCAACTTTGCGCTCAAGATAGCGTTGGCTTTCGTCAGAGAAAATGTATCGCTCATCGGCTGCACACCATTAGTATCAACTTGGAAGAAAGGAGGGATACCCACGGATATAATTGGTGAAAGCAATTGAAGGAGAGTTGTTGTAGCGGTTGATGTACTCCTCAATCTGGACCCACGAGATCCCCCGCATGCACTCCAGCTCGGCCTCGGCATCATCGCCGTAATTACAACCCAGTCCTTTGGCCACAATGTCAAAGTCTTCGTACACATCAGTCGTGGTCGACGGATTAATCGTCGCGGAAGCTCCTTGCGAGATCACGCCGAACTTGGCTGCAAGAGGCTCCTCCGGCCATGCGAGGGTGTACAGATGGGTCAAAAGTGCGCCTTGTGATTGCCCCCATAGCTGTATACTGTTAGCTTAGCCATGTAGTGGGTCAGTAGACTGACCATGATGTTGTCTGTGTCACCTCCAAACGCTTCAATGTTCTCATGAACCCATTCCACTGCAGCTCTTACATCCATCAGGGTGAGAGAGGTATCATTCAAAGCCCGGGACTTGGGATCTAACATACGTCAACAGATTGCACATACTTCAACATTGACCACTCACTTCCGAAAATGTTGACACGGTAGTTGATAGTAACAACAATATGCTCCTGGGACCGCGACACCCAAGCCGATGGCAGTTGGGAAGGTATTTCAATACCCCCAGTAATGCCACCACCACCGGTGACAAACAAAGCGACTGGTAGCTTCGATGTTGCGTTGGCGTAAGAAGGGGTCCATACTGCCAGCGACAGACAATCCTCCGACGTCGACCACGCGGTTGACCCCTGGTTGAGAGTTTCCCCGATGCTGAGCAGCAGGTTTTCCGGTTCATATTCATTCCAGAAGGAACTCGTCGAAGGCACGTACTGCGGGCAGGCTATAAAGGTTAGCATACCCAGGTAGAAGATGTTGAGGACTCACCTGGCCCATAGAAGGTAGAGTCGTATTTCCTGCTTGAATTGTCCAGCCTCTGAGGAGGAAGCCATCTAAGATCGCCAACAGGAGGCTGATCATGTCAGACGCGTCAAGCATATATCTTAGAGACCTACCTTGGCATATGGAACTCTGAGGAACTGACGGACGTCCGGATAGGTGTCATTGAGCATGCCAATGAACGTTCCTGTCCGCGTCTCCACGGTGAGGTTGGACCAGTTGGAGAGAGTCCGCGCGGGTTCCCAGGTCAAGTTTGCGTAGTAAGGCGCATAGGTGCCCAAGGCAGACACTGCCAGCCCGAGCAATCCAAACACTGTAGCTTGTACCATAATGTAGATCTCTGTGGCCTGTTCATTTCAACGATGAGAAGGGGACGAGATCGTCTTATATAGAATAGCCAAGACACGGACACCCCTCAATGTCGCGCTCAGATAGAGCCAGGACGACATACGACATTGGCGAGAAGCTGCAGACATCACTCGGCATTAACACACGCATTGGGCGGCCGAGCTTGGATGGCATGATATTCCAGGAATTAGCATGGCACACGGGAGAGAATTGGAGTATTGGACATCCAAGGTTTGTGGGGAAATCCGGGGTCCCACCCCCACGTTGCCATTCGGGAAATTAAGGCCGAGCTTGAAGGGATCCGGGTCAAAGACTGAACTTTCTCGGACCACCACTCTCCGCAACCGGATGTTGTCGAGTAAGTGAATGACAAATGGCCGACATCGTCACCAAGCAAACTATGACCCCACTGTCTAACCGCCAACACGGGATGGTCTTAGATACTTGCTCCCCATCGATTGTCAGACCTTGAACAGGAAGATCCCGTGCGGACTTGGCATGGTTAAGAGGGACGTGCCCTGAGATTTGTGATAAAAGGGTATAAATTGATCACTATCACAACGGAATGTATTACAGTCAACAACCACTGAGCCTGGAGAATGGGTTGAGCAACAACAACTAACAACCATCGAAGAAAATGACAGATTCCAAGCTCAAGCACATCCTCCAAGCCTAGACAATGTTCAAGCTCACGGAGGTCCCGGAGGCCCAGGGGGGCCAGGAGGACCTGGAGGACCGTCATCGCCGCCACAGCAGCATTCGCAGCATTCAAAACAGCAGAGACCGGCGCATCTATGCAATTAGTATGTCCCCATTTATGACAGCGAGCGCGACCTACACTCCACAGCAGACGTCCTCTCCCTCACCGCCACCGCGGATCTGCAGCTGCATCGATTCTCCGGTGCGCTGTTCCCGTTAGATCTTAGTTGACTAGGAGAGACATCTGGCATACCGGTTGCTCCGTAATAACGTGCTCCGCCGATGGGCTCGCAGGCTGCATAGTCAGGGTCGCGGGATCCCATTTGCTTTCGGGCACGGCCATCTCGGAAGAAAGCCGAAGCCACGACATCAAACCATTGCCGAACATTTTGAGGCCTGTGTCCGATGAAGAAGATCAGACGCGCAGGTTTCAAGGGAAAGGGGTTACGACGGACGGGGCCCCCTTAAAAGGAACTTGAATGAAGCTACGCCAGGGGTAAGGGACGAGCCGCCGTCGCACCGGTCCACTTGGCAGTTGGGGCGAGATAAGGCATGATTATCCTCATAATTGGACTTGGGAATTCGGCTCCCTGACCATCGCTGCTTCATCTTAGCCAAACACTCCGGCCACGAATCCAGCATATCGTGGCATTCAGCTGTGGTTTGGCAGGACCGCTGGAGACTGCAGGGCGCCATTGGCTTGTCTATTCAACAGTGCATGGTGCTTGATAATGGCTGGCCTAGTGATTGGATGTATTCCATTTCTAGCAATAGTATATATTCTGCGTGGAATTGGCCGGTTGCCAGGTGTAATGACAGCGCTTAGTGGACCGGAAGGATGGGGCCGGAGTCACAGTAGCTCTTCAGCAACACGGTGGCTGAGCATTTTAGTTAGCGCATCAACTATTGTGTGGTTATCGTCTTCATGTGGGATAGGCCCTCCGCTATTTACTGCACTGGTCAGCCTTGCCTCGTGGAACGAATGGTCAGGGGCTGACCGGAAAAAGTTTCTGCAGCGACCGGCTCATCCATGGACCCCCGAAACTTTAGGCAGAAGGATTCGCGCCAGGCACAACCACCCTCGATGCTCAATAATGAGCACAACCACCAGTGCAATGTAGTATAAGAAATAATTCAGATGATGTCAGAGCCATTGGCGATCGGTCAGCGATTCCCGACTATTCCGGGGCATTTCCGGGCCTCGTTGCAGGACAAATGCCGGGCGCAACCAAGTAAGCCAAGCTTTCTGGTGGGTTTGTGAGGACCACCGCCGACGTCACCCCATCTGGGGATGCGCAATGCGTGGAGGCCAAGAGATCGGTTCACCGGCCCGACTGATGTGGCGAACAAGATCGGACAATAAAATCTGGTCGACGGCTTGATCGGTTCTTCACACCACATATTTCACCATGGTTGCGGTCACTTCTCTCGGGCTCCTGCTGCTGCTGCGGGGGATCCTCCACGTGGGCGCCAAGAGCACGAGCGAAGTCACCTCCATCTCCGATCTCTCCTCCGATCTCTCCTCTACCTCGTCCTCCACCGATTCATCGAAACACTCATCAACTGACTCCAGCGACTCGATCATCGTGGTCACCACCGAAACCGCAGCGGCGGTTCCCACCGGCAGCTACATCAGCTACACCACCACCATCACTGTCGCTGACAGCATCACCCCCACCACCTTTGCGACTACCACCGCCTTCAATACTACTACATCCACAAATGGCACCACCACAGCGGCCACCACCACGGACACGAAAGTCGTCGTGACCGGCACCCGCGTTGACAGTAGCACCTCGACCGCCACCGCAACCACCCCGGCCAACTCGCAGCCCTGCAATGGCTACACCGAGTTCTGCAGCAGACAATACTCCAACATCACCATGGTCACAGCACATAACAGTCCGTTCGTGAAGAAGAACAACATCGCGGCCAATCAGATGTACAAGGTCAAGACTCAGCTCGAGGATGGAGTGCGCATGCGTAAGGATACCAGCATCCGACCATCAGGTTAGGCTAACATGGTTCAGTCTCATTCGAAGCACATTACTATGAAGACGACATCTACCTCTGTCACACCTCCTGCGACCTTCTCAACATGGGCACATTAGAAACCTACCTCACCACCGTGACCGATTGGATCAAGGAAAACCCTTACGACGTGGTCACCATCCTGATTGTCAACTCCGACTACGTCTCTCCTTGGAACTTTACCAGTCCTATCGAGGACTCTGGTCTTATCGATTACGTCTACGAGCCGTCGATCATCCCGATGAGCCTGGACGATTGGCCCACACTCTCTGAAATGATCCTGGATGGCAAACGCGCAGTCGTATTCATGGACTACCAGGCCAACCAGACGGCTATACCATACATCCTCGATGAGTTCACACAGATGTGGGAAACGCCATTCTCGCCACTGAACACCTCGTTCCCCTGCACCGTGCAACGACCACCCGGCATCACCGCCGCGCAGGCCGTGGATCGGATGTACATGATCAATCACAACCTGAATATCGAGATTGAATTCGAGGGGATCGACATCTTGGTTCCGGATTCGGCGCAGATCAATGAAACAAACGCAGTGTCGGGATACGGAAGTTTGGGCTTGATGGCGAACGACTGTAGAGGTGAGTGCAACTTCTCCCACTCCGAACACCATTATACTAACGATGGATTTAACAGCCAAATGGGACCGACCACCGAACTTCCTCCTCGTGGATTACTACAACGACGGTAACTTCCAGGGCTCGGTGTTCGAAGTTGCCGCCGAAATGAACAATGTCACATACAACGGGAAGTGCTGTGGAGGGTCGAAGAGTGCGGGAACGAAAATGGTTGATACCTCGTATATGTGGCTACCTGTGCTTACTGTTGTTGGCTTGGTCACCTTTGGACTATAATAGAATGTGATAGATGATATATACCACCCTCAACTACATTTGCCTTATACTGACTCAAATGTTTACAGTCCCTTGTAGTATATATCCAGCACCTGCGTGATATAAATTATATAATTTCCCAGCTAGACTAAAAGAGATACCTCTCAGGTTAGTGGAACAATTCCCAGGTGAATAGGTTCCAACAATAAATACACAGAATAGAACAAAAGACCATTCCCCAAATATATTCCCATACATATCAAGCATTATCCCTAATATAACCCACCCCTATCTCTCATTAATCAATACCATCCTCATAACACCTAAATTTATGCCCAACCCAATTCTCCAACCCACCCCACTACTCCTAACCTTCCGTACTACCCACAAAGTAAATACCCCCTTAGCAAGTAACACCCAGAAAATCGGGATACCTATTGCTACTCAATCCATAATCCCACATCTCACTCCAATAAAGAGAGCATATAATCGCCCAAACCTACTTTTATATATTCTATTTAACACCATTTATTCATTCACACTCCATCATGTGAATACTATAAATTAAGACGCGTAAACGACACGTCCCTATTGGCCACCATCCTAAAGTGGATTTTCGCGATTCCTTTGACATTTCCACCAGCAAGGAAGTGTTATTGATTTGGGGGATCTTATCTGATTTGATAGTATTTGATTTGATCTTCTATAAATTGATCTAGTGGTCGAAGAGTGAATGTTTGACTAGACTGCCGACAATGATTCCACTGCATGTCATTTCGAATATTCGGAGTAGGATGGATATTCCCGTGATAGCGGCTGGTGTTTTACGGAGGTAGGTCTCGATTTTTGAGGTTTGAGTAAGAGTTATCGAATGAAATGCGCTGGGTTCATAATTATGGTGTTAATGTGTGGGTTGAATGTTCATGTGGTTTGGGATAGTAACTAAGCATCTTTTATATTAATAGATCAAGGTTTCTGCATGAGATGCATTTCGAGATAAGACAGTTCCAATATTAGAATGATGTCGCTCGTATGGCACGTCAAGCTTGACAAAACCCCAAAATTTGGTAACAGTGTTGGCATATCTGCCGCCAACCGCCATTGAAGGCATACGTGGGGAACTCAATGCAGTGCGGAATGATTCCGTTGCGGGGAGATCTTCAGCGGACAATAACGTATCCCAGTTTTAAGGATAATACGTCGTCAGAGAAGGGAGCTCTCTTAAGTATTTAAGGATTTCATAAAATTTGGTTGATTGAATTAATTATCTTATGGGCATTATTGGCACGAGTTGATACGTCATCCGGAATTTCGGGCCGTTCGTTATAAAACCGAGTAAACTGTTGTCAGGCAGAGACTAGGCTTCGGATATCATGAAGCCATTGTGGTCAGATATGGATGAAGGTTTCCACTGCAAATGTATGAATATCCAGAGATAGTCCGATTGCCTGTCAGGTAGATGCCTTGTGTCCACCCTCTAGGAAAGGAAGGGAACCCTGGTTTGGTATATATGTGGGGAAAGCAAGAGGCACTCAACCTCAGCCCAATCTTTTGCATCTCGTTTTTGTTGTTGAACAATTTGGCCCAAAACATAAAGCAGATAACATCAAGCAAAAATTGCAGGAAGGGCAAACCTCCCCAGCAGTAGACACGTGCCACGATCAGGGGTGTTCAGCCGAGGCAGTGCTCTTGGTTGGTTGGACTAACGTTCCGAATCTAAGTGTATGAAGACAAAGAATTAGGAATGCTTGTCCATGTTGTTCCACGAACCCACTGCGGATATCCGAGCCAAATTCCGCCACCATTCTCACTCTTGGCGAGATAAGACACCACCGGGAACCGTGTAACTGTCAGGGGGGAAGTACTGGGGATTGTCGGGTTCCTCCGAAAGACATCGCGTGGTCGTTGGACCCTGGCGTGCCAAGAGGAAGCCACCAGGAGCAGACCTCCGCAGGCGGGGATTGGTGCCCCCTCGGGGCCAAGACATGAGGTTGCACTCCAGCCTACCCGCCAAGCCATCCGTTCCGCCAGTGCCAGCCTCTCCCAAGCCCTGCCAAGCCCATTCCATCAAACGCGCCAATCCCTCGTCATCATGGCCTTATCAGCGAGGCCTTATCCAGACTCGGCTGAGACAGCGACCGGGGTCTGGCTGGCTGGCAAGCTGGAGGAGGGGTCCGAGGGCGTGGCGACGGCGCACCATATCGGTTGTTGCACCACCGGCCAGACACGGCGAGAAGAGCACTGCTCCAATTTGGGGATTGCCCCGACGGTGTCACCAGCGTCTCTCGGAGGTGGTCTGGTTTCCAACCGATAGGCTCCTTGTCAATGTGCCTTCCATGATTGGAGGTGGGACGAACGAGAGATAGGCACTTATTCACTGCACGACATTTGCCCCCCGTCCGTCTTAAAAACCACCTACTGCCAACTTCCCCTCCGTGTCAGGTCCCGTTTTCCCCTCCCACCTCCGTTGAACCTTCTTCGTGGCTGGCACAATGAACTCCTCAGATCCCGCTGAAGTGGCAGAGATTGCAAAATCTGCAGTCTTTACCCACGATGCTCATCTCGACGAGAAAAAGGATCGTATCTCAGCTGAACTGCGACAGACCAGCTCGCCTGAGATAGAGGAGATTCGCGCGATCCCCGAAAAAGGCGCTGCGGGCTCGTCTGTCCCCTATGAAGACGACGCATCCTTACAAAAGACCTTTCCTACCTACGATGAATTGAAGACTCTCCGTCGAGTGGCAGGACAGATACCTTGGACGGCCTACACAGTGGCCTTTGTGGAGTTGTGCGAACGGTTCTCCTACTACGGAACCACCGCCGTTTGTATGTCTGACCAATCTCCTCTACAGCACACTACTAACCCTGGTAGTCGTCAATTTCATCCAGCGTCCTCTTCCCGCGGGCTCCTCTGCCGGTGCGACTCATGGTCGCGAAGACTTGGTTCCTGGTGCCCTGGGCATGGGTCAGCAAGCGTCTACCGGCTTGACTTTGTGTAAGCTGCCTTCTCCTAGTTGGGGTACACAGATACTGACGAGCAGTCAACTCTTTCTGGTCGTATATCATGCCCCTCATGGGTGCGTACATGGCCGACCAGTACTGGGGACGCTTTCGCACGATCATGTTCTCCATCGCAGCCGCCCTGGTCGGACATACAATCCTCGTCATATCCGCCATCCCACCGGTCATCAAGAATCCACACGGGGCGATTGGATGCTTCTCAATTGGCCTAATAATCATGGGAATAGGAACGGGTGGTTTCAAGTGAGCTCTCTGACACAATATGTCAGTACAGTCTAACCGGAGTAGATCGAATATCTCCCCACTGATCGCAGAGCAATACCGAGAGGAAAGGCCATTTATCAAGACCCTCGCTTCCGGAGAGCGCGTCATCGTCGACCCTGCCGCTACTGTGGCGCGCATCTATCTCTATTTCTACCTGATGATCAACATTGGCTCCATCCTCGGACAGGTCAGTATGGTGTACGCGGAGCGATACGTGGGCTTCTGGCTCTCCTATCTCCTGCCGACTATCATGTTCACCTTCTGCCCTACTGTCTTGTTCTTCTGCCGGAATAAATACTACCTGGTCAAGCCTACCGGGTCCGTGTACCTGCAAGCCTTTCGCCTGTGGAAGCTAGCCATGCAGGGGCGCTGGTCTCTAAACCCTGTTCGGCTGTAAGTAGCCCAACTTTATCGCGCATAGAATTATCTAACATCCAATAGATTCAAAAGCAACCCCACCCCATTCTGGGACCATGTCAAGCCCAGCGCACTAGGATCAAATCGTCCACTGTGGATGACATTCGATGACGAATGGGTAGACGAGGTTGCTCGTGGCCTCAAAGCCTGCAAAGTCTTCTTATGGTATCCTCTATACTGTATGCCCCCTCCCCTCCCCCATCTCAGCTCCGTAGTACACACTAACAATTCAGGGCTCGCCTACAACCAAATGCTCAACAACCTAACCTCCCAAGCGGCGACCATGAAACTCGGCGGTGTCCCCAACGACATCATCAACAATCTCAACCCCCTCTCCCTCATCATCTTCATCCCCATCATGGACCAACTCGTCTACCCCTTCCTCCGCAAGATCGGCTTCAACTTCACTCCCCTGAAGCGTATCGCCGTCGGCTTCTTCACCGCCGGTCTCTCCATGATCGCCGCCACCGTAACCCAGTACTACGTCTACGAGAGAGGCGATTGCGGCAAACAAGCCAACTACTGTCTGGATGAATTCAACTCCCATTCCCCAATCTCCGTCTGGGTCCAAGCCCTCGTCTACATCCTGGGCGGTCTCTCCGAGATCTTCGCATCCGTGACCTCCCTCGAGTACGCCTACACCAAGGCCCCGCGCAACATGCGATCCCTAGTCCAAGCCGTCGCTCTCTTCATGAATGCCTTTTCCTCTGCCATCGGACAAGCCTTTGTTGGTTTATCCAACGACCCACTCTTAGTCTGGAACTACGCCGTTGTCGCCATCCTAGCCTTCATCGGAGGAATTGGCTTCTGGCTAACAAACTATAAACTCGATCGCCAGGAAGACGAGTTGAACAATCTTCCCCAGAGCCACTATGAGGGCCGCTCTGAGAATCACGTCGATGAGGAACACAAGTAAAATAGCCAGGGAGAGAGAGAGGGGGGTGGGGGGGGGGGGTTGTGGTTGAAGCAGCAGCTATTCATCTACCTATCCATCCATCTGTACCATGCAGCCTAATGCTGTACATCATTAATACCTCGGTAGGGATCATTATGATAATTATGATACCAGCTTTTCTTTAAGCCCACTCCACTTAGTTGGTTCCGTTATCTTTATTTTTGTCTGGCTTCGCATCTACTCGAACACTCTTAATAATATACATTATCCTTGTTATAGATCTCTGTGCGTCTTTTAACTCCCCTCGTGCTCATCTTCAACCAATTTATTTGAAAGGGAAACTTTATGTTTGGCTGGAATGTCAACGAAAAGAAACTATATATCAGCTGGGTATTATATTTTGTGGTCCATACCATGCACTTGTTAGATGGGTGGAATCAGATGCGATGTCGAATTAACTGGCTTGTTTTACTGGTAAGATATCAATTAAGGCTTATCGAGGTCACCCTATTATACTATTTAAACCATACCGATGTAAGAATCAAGGCGTAACCAGTAGAAGCAGTAGAAGCAGTAAATTAGGTAAGTAAGAAATAACGATCAAATGGGAATCAATCAGGCAAAACCAAATAACATCAGACGTCAATAAGCGAACATAATCATTATAACTCTTCCTCCTCAACAGCAGCCGGGCTCACGTGGGTATCAAGAATATCCCAAGTCTGCAGGTCCAGGTTCAACACATCATCATCGCTCTCGGCCTTGCCACCGCCAAACGACTTCAGGTTCCACTTCTCAACTCCCTCCACCCCCTTCATCTCCTCCGGGAACTCCCGGAACACATCGGCATTCATGCGCTCGTAGTCACTGTAGTCGCCAGGCCAGTCGCCCAGACGCTCCACGGCCAACTTGAACAGATGCAGGTGCTGCTTAACATGCTGGCCCTCGGAAAAGGTGCTGTCGGTGGTGTCCCGCATGTCAACCTCGTACGCAGAGCCGTCCATGCTCAAAGTGGCCTCCAGGCCGCCCTCAAAGTCGGCGTAGTAGGGGTCGCTGAAGGCACGCAGGATACCCTCGTGCACGCCAGCACACTTCTTGTAGTAGCGGTTGGCCAGCTCCTTGTGGGCCTGGTTCTTGGTCGCCACCTTGGTGTACAGCTGCGTCAACAGAACCGACATCTCCAGCGTGCTGGGGTGACGAGGTCCGTGCACGCGACGGCAGTTGTAAGCAATGTCTTCGGCCAGGCGAAGAGCGTCCTTGTACTTGCCAATGCGGAATCGGGCAATAATGAGGCGGTGTCCCAGAGCCAGAGTGTAATGGGGCCAGTTGCGATGGGCCTCGCGGCTGTCCCACAGAATGGTGAGAAGCCATGCCAGGTTCGCGTAGTCTTCCTGCTCACCCAGCAGTCCAATCAGCTTGCTGAGCTGCTCAAAGTTCACGCCGCCCATGTCGAGCTTCAGGCCCTTGATGACGGTGAGTGCCTCCTTGATTATGACACCCGAGACTCCCAGCATCTTCTTGCGAGAGGCTTCGTCAGGGCGCGCGACGAGGTCACGGCCCGCGATGAGCATACCCAGTGTGAAGACGAACTTGACAATGCCGACGGAGCGGTAGACCTCCTGATGGGACTTGATGTAATGGAACGAGGCCAGGGCCAGGTCGCAGGCACTACCCCATCTCTGGCTCTTCAGCAGCTGGTCAACGTACTCGTTGCTGGTGATACCAATTGAGCGGACAAAGTCATCCGAGCGGTGGGAGCTGAAGTGGCGCAGGATGGTCTCGGCAAAGATCCGCACCTGCGCAGGCTCGGTCAACTTGACCCGCTTGCCCTCGGTGGCGACGAAATAGTCAACAAAGTCATCAAACACGCGAGCAGCGGCGGTCTGGCGGTTGTTGGCGACCAGGAAGTGGTACAGGCGGGCAGTAGACACAGAGACTGTGTGGATGGAGCTGGTCTTGGACTTGAGCTGACTGCGGAATTCTTCGAAGTAGACGTACTCCGTTGTCAGCGCCGCGAGAATCTCGGTGATGGTAGTCGACGAGCTGCGGCGCAGACTATACTCGAGCTGGGCCAAGAAGGTGAGGCTCTGACGCTCCTTGGATGCGAGGTCGAACTGCACCGACTTGGCGTTAGCGGTGTCCTTCATGACAATCTGGCGATAGATCTCCTGAGTAAGCTCAGTAGCCTTCTGGACCTGATTCGATGCGATATAGCTGGAGGCGATCGTGGAGGCGGCGGCAATCAACCGGGTCGAGGAGGTCTCCGAGGACAGAATCTGCACGGTCGCTTCTTTGAGCTCTTGCACCACAGTCTCGGTTTCATTGCGCTCAGCGTAGAAGGTGACCATCTCCTTCATCTTGGAAAGCGATTCCTCGTGGGCCCAACCATGGGTCTTGCGCACGGTGCTGATGCGCTTCCTCAGGACCTTGACGGCGCGCTCGACCTGCGCAGTAGACACCGACTCAGACTTGGTGGACGTCACAATCGCGGCCTGCTCCTCGTAGATCGCGTCCAGAGTGCTGGAGATCTCCTGAAGATCAAGCTCCTCGGACTTGCTCTTGAGCAGCTCTTCGTAGAGAGTAATCGCCTGAAGCTCGTATTGCTTAGACTCCTGGCAGAGCTTCGCGAGGGTCAGGGTGGCCTGGAGGCTGATGGAAGCAGTCGCACTGAACACCGCCTTGACCTTAGCATGGTAGTCGACAGTGACCTGATGCAAGACAGTGAATTCGGTACGGACGCTGCGCAAGCAATGGGTATACCGGCTGAAGATCTCCCGCACGAAGGTCTGGTCCTGGAACTTGGGGCTCTGCTTGGGCTGGTTCAAGAAGGTCGTGAAGATGATCCTGAAGTAGTGCACAGCATCGGAGTAGCGACCCTGGTTCCAAAGCTCGGTGGCAACAATGACCAGTGGCTCAAAGGCCTCCGGGTGGCAGGTGGGGGAGTCCTTGTTTAGAGTGCGGACAATCTGCAAGTAGTAGTCAACGAAGATGGGACGAGGGCGCGTCAGTTCTGCCAAAGTCCACAGAGTCTTGATCACCACAGGGTTCTCAGGGCCGTAGTGCTTGACATAGTCATTCAACAACTCCTGACGAAGGTTGATGATCTTGTCAGTCTGCGTGTTACGCTCCAGCAAGCGCAGGAGCTCGTTGGTGATGCGTTCCCGGAGCTTGTCATCGACCTTTCTCCCACCGCGGAACGCACGGTAGATGCGGACGCGGATGTCTTCCTCCTTGCTCAGACGACGGCGGGCATAGTAGCACCTGCTGAGACGCTCGGCAAGTTCGACGCAGCTTTCCACGTGCTTCGCGGGGAGGGTGACATCCTGCAGGTTGGCAGCAAAGAGAGAAGGCCAAACACCATGGAGGACCCTCTTGATCACCCGGGTCGCATCCTGCCAGCGATGCTGCTCAACGTACAGGCCGATGAGACTGTGCGTGGCAGTGAAGGATGTCTGGTCAACCGTGGCAATGGAGGTCGATGCCTCATACACCATTTCCTCCAAGGTCGTCTCCGACGTGACAGTAGACGAGCTGCTGAAGGACTGCATGACCTCCTTCGTAGTGGTCTGGATGCTCTGCTGCACCTCCTTGTAGCTCGACGTCTGCGTCCGATTGGTGCTTTTGTAGTACTCAGAGCAGTGCTTGAAGACGGTCAAAGCCAAGGTAGACAGCCCCACCACCTTCATCATCTTGGCAATTTCCTGGAAGTGAGAGACCGAGCTTTCGGAGATGGACATGCTGGTCTGCTCGTACTCCTGCCAAACACTGGTCAGGATAGAGGAGGCTTCGTATTCTCTCTTTTGAGTCTTTAGGAACTTGGAGTAGGCAAGAACCGACGCCATCTTCCTCTCTTCCCACAAGGCCGAGTAGTTGGTGCGACACTCCCTGCTCACTCGCTGCCAGATTTCGACGTAGATAAGCTCCGCGAGCTCGAACTTGCCTTCGGCGGCATACCGCTCGGCCTCCTTGGTGTGGGCCTCGAAGTCAAACGATTCAAACCGGTCAATCAGTTCGTCATGCTCTTCGGCCTCCAAGAAGTCGTTGATTCGGGTCTGGATGACCTTGCGGTGATGTCCTCTCACGCGCACACCCCAATCCCCGTGGAATTCACGAGACTCGGTGCCTTGTTCACCGGTAGTGACAAGCCGGATGAGACGGGTAATTTCCTCTGCTTTCTGGAACTCCTTGATTGTTTGATAGTGCTTGACCAGCTGCTCCCGAGTGGCGATGACGGTCTTGTGGGTCTCTCCGTAGAGCTTCGTGTAACAGTCGACAAGGAGTACGAGAATCTGCTCCCTCTTGGCCATGATCTCCGTTTTGGTTTCGGTGACTCTGCTCACTGTGAGCTCGAGGAAGATGCTAGCCAACTGTGCGGAGAAAGATGGGCTGGTGGTCAGCAACGTGCGGCTCAACGTGGTGGCCTCGAAGAACAAGGGAGTAGCCTCCGGGACGTAATCAACGTCCCGGAAGAAGAGTGCCAGGTTGATGATGGACTGAAGAGTCACCCGGTGGTTCGGAGTCAGGATCTGGCGGCAGAACGTGGTGACCGTGGTCTGGTAAGTCAAGAGTTCAGGACTCGGTCTGTTGGCCCACAGAGTGGTTTGAAGCAGGAGAACGGTAATAGAGCCCGGGAACACCTTGGCAAACTCCTTGGCCGCAGCAACCTCGCCCTGATTAACGAAGACCGTTGTCTGCCTGATGTGCGACACCCAATAGCGGACCGCAAAGTCAAGCAGAGGGTACCGGCTGATGAGCGAATCGGTTTCGTAGCCATTGAGAGGAGTGAGAGACGGTTCCTTAGCCTGTGGTTCAGTGACGAAGGACTTGATGTAAACCAACAGCCGGGTAACAAAGTCGGCATGTCTGTCCTTGATGTTAGGAATCAACTTGCCCTTGGAGAACACCTCCAAGACCGCACTGCGGACGAGGCCGTGGCGGAGATACACCTGTCCATCCTGTACGAATACAAGGGAGTTGACGGGCTTGAGAACTTTCAACGGCTCTGGGTTATGACCCTCGGCGATTGCCAATTTGTCAACCTGGATTGAGGTCAGGGTCTGCAGCTCCTTAATGAGGAGGGGGCGATCAGCAGTCGCAAGCCACAACAGCATCAAGCGAGCCTCGTCAGTGACACCCTTCTGCTGCACAGTCTGGAGGACAAAGTCGGTAATGGACAGCTTATCAGTAACGCCGTCCACGGCTTTGAGTAGGCCCTCGAGATTTTCTGCGGTGCGAACACGCTTCACGGCGAGCTTGGCCCAGAGAAAGGAGCCGTGGGATGCCTCGGTGATGCGATCCACGATAGACTCCTGCTCAATCTCATCCAGCTCTGGGAAGACCACACTTTCCTTGTGCTCCAGGAACTGGCCTCGCACTACAGTGGCAATATCCTCGAAGATCCGCTCCTCCGTCACCTGCACACAGACGTGACCCGGTGCCGCAGGGGGCTTGGTGGCACCAAGGGCAATCAGTTTCACGTTGGTGCCTGCTGTAGTGGCAGCGGTCAATCTCTGTAGAAGGGCGGCTTCTCCGCAAGAAGCCTCGTCGACGCCATCGACAACAATGACCAGCTCCTTGGCGCCGCGAAGGGCGGCTCCCAACGCACGCTCCAGTGCGTTCCAGAGAATGTTGTCGTAGTCATTATCGTTCGTGGCCTTCTTGCTGCGCTGCAGAGCATCGGTCAGGATCTGGAGCAGCTGGACGTTGCCAATGCGCTTTTCGAACAGCTGGGAGAGGATGGCCTTGGCGATGGCTCGGGGTCTGGTTCCTGCCGGAAGTCTGGCATCTGATACCCGCATCAGTCAGAGCTGTAGGAGTGGCACATCCGAGAAGAATACTCACTGATGGGAATGAACAGGGTTTTGTAGGTGATCCCGCGAATGGGGTGTTGCAGGCTGTCAACAATCACGGAGGCCAGGACAGTTTTACCGGAACCTGCCTTACCGGCAATGGACAGGATCTTGTGCTGACTTGTCAAGAAGTCGAACAGGGAGGGCTTGACCCAGCGGCAGGTCATCTCCTCGCGGTCGTGAGCGAGATGCGAGACCGTCTCGGCAACGTTGGAGAGAACACGATCTTCAGGGGTAAGCCATGACTTTACAGCCTTCACCTCGGCGACTAGAGGGCAGTCAGTAACCAGTCAACACCAGACGGCAAAGTGGGATCCTACCTTTGCCTTCATCACCGAGCTCCTTCAAGAGCTGCTGTTGCCACATGGACTCTCCAATCTCCTCACAACCTCGGTGGAACCTGTGGATCTCATTTGGGAAAGTTTCGTAGATGTTTATGTATTCGTAATCCTCGCCCAGCCTGAGAACGGCTTTTTGGAAGCGGGTAGACACATGGGCGACCAGGTTCACCAGGTCTTCTAATGCCTGCACTAGCTGTCTCCGGATATCGCCGGTGACGCTGAAGAGCTCGGTCCGTTCGAGCAGATTCCCGAGCGATGTTGAGGTGCTGTAGAAGAACCCGAAAGAGGTCATCAATGCAGAGGCATTCTCGTCACCCAGCTGGTTGGATTAGCGCAGTGCTTGCATTTTAATGGGAGAACCTACCTTGAGGAGCGACAGACAGTAACCGTAAGCCATCTGGAAGGCAAGGCCGCTGACATTGGTAAAGTCCTCGATGGCCAACTCAAAGGTCCGCAGTCTTTCGACAAATAGCTGTGCCCAGCCTAGGACCTTGTCATAACTGCTTCCCTCTGGGGGCATGAGGCTCAGACGTTCATCATGGATCCAGGACAAAACCATCTCATAGGAGTCACCCGAGATGGCCATACCCAGCTCATCGCCGGTCTGACGCTGGAGGGAAGACAGTCTTCTAGAGAACTCCGTCTCCTGAGGGTCAAGCCTGCGAGAGGATACCCTCCGGGATGTGATTGAGCGAGACATGCCATTGTTGGAGAGGGTGTCACTTTCAGCGAATCCCGAGATGCGCCTGGGCACCTTGGGGGAGAGAGGAGAGGGAAAGCTGCTCGGAACGGGGGACAGGATAGACGGAGCCATTGTGATTTTCGGAGGATCAGTTCGTTTGGGAATGTGAGGGAGTTTCGGAGTGTCAATTATCTTCGGCGGTGGAGTGAACTTTACGGGAGAAGGCACGCGAGTGAGTTGTGGCGTCTGCTGAGGATGTCGGGAGGGGGGAACTGTAGGCCGCGGAGGGAGGTCAGGCTCAGCAGTGGTCTCTCCGGAGGAGCAGCGGCGACAACTCACTATACAACAAAGAAAGCGACGCAAACCGGCGACTTAACACATGGAAGAAAATAGGTATTGATTAAGAGGGTATCCTCGGTCTGGGGAGAAGATGTGCTCTGCTGCAGGGGATCCCACTTATATAAGAGCAAAAAGCAACGAGACTTCGAGCCAGGGTGGTTGACCGGGGCTGATGCAATCATGTGGGTTTGCTTTTCAGCCAGATGTGCAACCGAGCAATAGTGGCAAGCTTGTCCCTCATCCACAATCGTTCCCTTTGCAGCATAGTGTGGCTGAGAGGGTCCGATTCTAATGGGCCCCCAGCTATCTCCGACCTCTCAGCACCGCCAGGCCGGCTGAGAATTCCAAATCCAAGTTTCTTTGGGAAGGGGCCAATAGAGTGATGACTCTCACTGGGGTTGCGAAAGCATGTCGTTGCACCCTTTCTGTAGATCGAAGTTTGGTCCCCATCGACATCAGCCCGCTGCGTTGACATCACGAATGCATTCGCCCCTGAGCATTCGCATGTGAATGGGGAGGAAACTCCATGATGACACAGTGAGCGTATCAGATACAGAAAAAGTACAGTGGATTCTGAGCCGGGCCTCCCAGCTGGCTGTCCCATCGTGACCATGCAGACGGGATGCGCAGTGGAGCGGCACCGAACAAGCTGAGCAAGCGTGATGTCCCTCTCCACACTAGCACCAGTGTCTCGGAACTTTCCTGTCATTCGACACGGGCTATACTCCATATGGTGCTGACCATCCACGAGCCGGAATCAGGGCTGGCAAGTCAAGCTCACATTGGCTCTCGGTGGGCCGGTCTGGTCAGCGATTCGGAGTCCGCGCTGGACTAGGCGAGCAGAGCTCCTTATTCCCGTAGTGCATCCCCCTACATCCTGCATGGTCTAGCGAAGAGCTATGATCCTTGCTAGGGTGGTTCTTCAGCTTGTGGCTGCCTGAGAAACGAGAGAGACGTGATCGTCCAGACTGTCTGGGGTGGGGGCTGGATGGGCCCAAAGCTGCCGGTCGGGGACCAATGGTGACGGGCGATGGGCGGGAGTCGACGGGGGTGGACAAACCCGCATCGCCCAGGGCCAGACGAACTGCCGATCGAGGGGATGGACGTAGATTGGCTAATTCCTGCTCGGCTGGCAGGACCAAAGTTGGATCAGCCTGGGATGGAATGTACTATAGTAGTACACAGTAAGTTCTTGCTCTGTAATCCTCCCGGGCTATTCAGCCGGCACACGGTCCCACCCCACACCCAGGAGGGATGATGGTTGCCTACCTAGTACCGCCCTAGTAGGTGACGGAGAGGTCATTCTGACCCATCACTCAGTTTGACATTCCAAGCACTTGCTGGGAACTGCTCTATAGTATCCGCAAATCTTCGTCGGGGTGTGGACAAATCTCTGGTAGGCTGGCAGGCTGGCAGGTGCCCCTCCCCAAGACTTTCTGTCCATGGTTGGCAGCGCACACAGACTCCCGGCTGAGGAACCGCCCCGGCCCGCTTGGTGTGGTGGGCACACGATCCGGGACCTCCGCAGAGGCAAGTGCTGAGAGTTTGACTGGGGCACCGCGGAGTAGACAAGGTCTGATTTGCACTTTTCCAGATTTCTCCTGGCCGCGTAGTCCCCGATGCGGGAGAATGGAACCCGAATTTTGCGACCAGGAATTTTGACTAGCCAGATTGAGAGACGTACATTAGTTTGATGGAGCTCGTGGGATTGCAGGCGATGGACAAATCTGATTCATCCAGGAGACAGCTCCGTGGGTTTGAACCCCTGTGCAAGGGTGAAAATGGATATACGGAAGAGTCTCGTCATTGCTCATCAGGCGGGGCGCGGGAAATCGAAGATTTGTGAGGCTTCCAAGTTCCAACTTCAGCAACGGGATAACTTTGGCGCCCACGTGATGATTACCTAAGTACCCGTCTGCTTGGCTGCCTGTGGCTGCCTGAGGGGCGTGTGAAATACGGAGGAACCGGTATAAAACCCGCTGTTCCCTCGCATTGACGTTCCTGGTTGGTAAGACCTGATTGATTGACCATCAACCAGATTATCCGAGGTTCCTACGATTCTGGAGACTTGGCGCTGGACCAAGATTTGAGTTAGATTGGGGGGTTTGATTCTGATGGCCGATGCGGATGGACAGAGTCGGGAGACTCCGCTGAAGTGGGTTGGATCATAATGATTTGGATGAACCGCGTGCGGAGTTGGTCCTTGCTTGGCCTCGAGGGGGGAATCGTGAACCGTGAACCGTGAACCGTGAACCGTGAACCGTGAACCGTGAGCCATGAACCGCAATGGAAGGCGACCGAGGGACACTCCCGAGGCCCCCAATCCAGGACGGGTAATGACGGGTTCGATGATCGATCCCGTAGTGGTCTAGCGTCTGAGACTCTTGAGTTTTCCACGATGCGGGAACCTGCCTGGGTGCAAAAACCATTAACCAACAAAGTACCATGTGGGGTGAATGATGTGAACTCAAGTCATTGATCTTCTACCTACATTCTATCTAGTATCTACCTACACAGTACACCCCCCGAAGTCTACCCGAGCTTCTGGCACCGCGCCTATGGATAATGTCGATCATGCCGTCAAAATGAAAATATCCTGCCAACCTCCTCACCCCGCGAGCAACGGGTCCACTTTTCCGCTGCTGGACGAGTGCTTAATCGTCCATAATTAGCTCCCTCGGCCTCAGCTCCCCCACTTGGCAAATTACAGATGACAGAGCATTGAGCAGACCTGCTCAGCTCCGCTTGCTAGCGACTACCCTCGACAAAGTACTCTCGAGTCTCGAGTCATATGGAATCAACCATCGGGCACTCCTACCTATTAGTGCGTCCTGCACGGAATGTGTCAATCGCTAGCCTCCTGTGCCACAATGATGAATGATCACGCATGGTAGACAGATCCACCATGACGAGGCCCGCGGCGGCAATCTGCGGAGCGACTGCAGCTGCAGAGAAGCGAGTGCCTCCATACCGTGTATGAGTGCTTGTTATCGGAGCTGAGCCGAGCATCCAAGGCTGCGTGATTTCGCGAAAGTTATCTGGCAACGTGGGCACCTAAGGGGTCTTTCCATTTACTCCGTGTTCTTCGGATGATTTGATTTCCGCTTCCTTTCCAGATTCCAGCCATCGAGCATCTATTTTGCGACAGGCACTAAACCCTCGCCGTTTCAACGCTACTGCTCGAAAATGGTACCTCATGCAACCCTCTTAGCCTCTTCTGGACCCCTCGACTCACAGTGCATAAGCTCCAAACACTGCCACATAATTCCCCTAGCGCTTCCTGTGAGCGACCCTACGCTCGAATTACTGGGCAGGTCAGCTCTCAGAACAGATTAACATATATTACAGATCGCCGGGATACATCTGAGGTAGATTAAAGCGGATGCTACCATAAACCAAGACCTGAACCTCCCTCTACCCAGCGCTCTCTCCCCTAGAACTAGCTAGGTATTCTTCCCCTTGCCCCGTCGCTTCCAATATTCGGGACTCGGCTGGCGCTTGGGTCATTTGCCAGGCTGCCTCGTTATCCGACGTGTCAGATGGTCTGGCCCGGGCTGGCGCGCCCGACTAGCTCGCAGTGCAGCAGCATGGGGCTGTCAGCTGCGATCCCAAGGTGCTGACGGTTCAGCGCGCGCGGGCTGGCTGATGGGCCGGTCTAGATGGATCTTACCAAGCCGGAATATACTTGACCCAGACAGACGTATAGCCAACCACCTACTCTCGAAGCGCCGGACAGACAATGCATCCCACCACAATTGCAAACCATCGATCGGATACGCCGGGAAACCAGTCACAACTCACAACATCCTAATAAGCCACCGTGACCACATTCAGCACATGCGGATGATAGATATCCGTGGCTCCGAGCGCGCAGGTCCCTCGAACTGACTGGTCTACCGTCTCTTCCGTGCCTGACAGGTTCAGTATCGCACCCATCCATCCCATCCTACCTAGAAACTATTCAACACTTAAAATAACTCACCGCGCATGCAAATCTTGCCAGTTCGTGATCCCGCCCAGAGATCGGAATTCTTCCCTATCCCCCGCCCGAACGGCTTCATTTCCCTTCCGCTGCTCCCGCCATCGGACAGATGCAACAAACACCCTGTTTCGCTTTTTTAGATTTTCTTGCCCGGCCCGGTCCTTGCACACGCGCCCATAACTCGCCAATGCGCTGTCAGCTGTCAACTGTCAACATCCGATCCTCTCAGGGACAGCGCGCGCGCACGCCAGCACCACCCCCTCCCGCAGCCTCATCAGCCATTGCCCACCCGGTAGCGCTTTCGAATGATTTCACTTGTAACCCCTGGCTCATCTTTTTTTTCCGAATCAAGGTTCCTACTACTAGAAGATATATCATCCCGGTTTGATATCTGTTCTGTTCTGCTATAGCTATGGTCTAGAATTCTTGATTTATATATCTACTAATATATTATCATTCATCGCTGACACATGAGAGAAAACAATCGAGTCAATACATAAATATATGTTTAATCAGCGCCCACCGAGTGACCGACCTAACCAAACCACCGGAAACAAAAAAGAACACTAGGAAAAAGTCGAACCAAAGAATGACACTGAGCCTGGTCCATCCCTCCCTTCCTCCCTGAATGTATACATCCCGACCAGCAAAACCCCCAACCCCTTCCTAACCCAGCCATCTCCACCCAACACAGCTCAATACCGACACACCTTCATAATCGACTGCAAAACATCATCATTATCCTTGAAAATCGTGCCCAAAGCCGATACTTCAGTGGCGGACATTTCCCTCCGCAGCTTCGCCACCGCCGCGAGACCTTCGCCATCGCGCGCGACCTTGGTAATGGTACCCACTCCAAACAACATGCCGAGGATATTGACGACGGCCGAACTGGGGTCCTCGACGGTATCGTACAATGCCAGGGCGCTGTTGCCAAGTTCCCCGGCGAGGGCAATGCCGCGAGCCAGATCGGCGAGTCCGGCGGCGGCAGCAGCTTCTTCGCCGATGATGGGGACGAACTGGTTGTTGATGGTGTCAGTAAGTGGGATGCTGTGAGGGGGAAGAAAGGGGGAATGGAATACATACCATAAGTACGACGCTCACGATGAGCAAAATAAAATCCTTCTTCCGTCTTTCTTCCTCCTCCTCTTCTTTCTTCTCCTCTTCGCCCAACTTCTTCGCATTCGCCATATCATCAATCGCCTGCATCAGAATAAATACCGGTGTACTATACGCCTCTGCCGCATCTGCCACCGAGCCATTAAACCATTGCCCGAGTGCAATATCCAACAACGTTGCCTGCATGGCTATCCGCAGATCCGGGATACTCCCGATCCCCTGGGTCACAATATCCTTGGGGTTGGGAACAACCATGGAGGCGTTCTTCACGGGGAAATCCTTGAACTTGTACTTGAAGTCCCGGCTTGCGTGGGGTTGTGCGTCCTCGAGGGAGTAGGTGTATGCACCGTATTCAACCCAGTCTTCGTCGATGCCGGCGTTGGTGAGCGCGGTTTCGTAGCCGGTTTGGTTGGAGATCGTGAGGGTCGTGGCTTCGTAGCTCATTTCTTGTCTGTATTCGGTTGAATTGATCTCTGTGCATGGCATTTCTTTGCCCGTGCCGAGTGTGCAGGTAAAGTCTGATGGTTGATGTTAGTGTGTAGGCTTGAGTAGCGTATGGGTTGTATCTGGCTTGCTGTCGCAGTCTCGGAAGGGGGGGACTTACAATCCATTCCATATCCCAGAGCAGGGAAGGTCATGTACTCGGTCGTCATGCTGATGTTGAACATAAAGTCGTAAACCAGGACCTCCGGTACCAGGTCCTTCATGTATGTGACATAGTACCCGAACAGGTCATCGTAACCATTGTTGACGTTGGTGTAGTTGGCGTAAGCCACATCAAGCATGTCAATCAGAACTTGCAAAGAGTAGAATGCAATACACTCAGTATGCAGGCTTCCACTAGCAGCATACAGATCGTCCAGACTGGTGTAGTTCTTGGTGTAGTCACAGAAGGAGTAGTTATCGCCAAGGTCGATGCTCACGGCGTCCCCGGTTCCATTGTTCAGATAGGTTTGGTTCAAATCCACGGCCCAGTCGGAGGTGCCGGCGAAATTCAGCCTGTCGGTCCAGCTCCGTCGCGAGGCGTAACTGGCTGGACTGAGCCACGAGACCCAATTGTCCGTGTCGTAGATAAGTATGTCTCCCTGGTCGTAGTACTGGGTGATGTTGCTGGGGCCGTATACGTCGGGATTCTCAGCTTCGCCAATGATCTGGTAGATTTCGTAGTTGGAGATATAACCGGCGCTATGCCCGTGAGTATATAGGAAGAAAGCAACGAGGGCTGAGCAGAGGCGACGGCTTACGTTTCAGTACATGGTCCTGGTTCCGCGCCCGAGTCCGGCCCGGTGAAGTGGCATTGAGGTCCGCTGCAGGTGGAGTTGGCCATCTTGAAGCTGCGTCCGTAGAGAGCCAGACCAGGCACGACCTTCTTGGCCGGAACACCGGCCTTGGTGATCATAGACAAAGCATATGCCGTCTCGGTCTGGTTCACCTGACTGCGAAGGCAGCCACCGGTTGGGCATCCGGAGCTGGTGGAACGTGTAAGTAGGGTATGCGACAGTATGGACAGGGAGCTTACTCGGCCCATTTTGAACCATAATCCCACTGGCCGTGAAGATCATAGGTCATATACACAATGTAATCCTTGAAGAAGAGAAAAAAAAGGGTCAGGCATGGCTGTGGTGCAATGAAACAGAGACACATACCACGACGGTAGACATGTTCGCGATTGGAAAGTTCTTGAGATACCAATACGAGGCCGGAGCTGCAATTGACAAAGTCTTGTTTGTGGGTAGCTCAGTTCGCACCAGCCTTAGAAATTCGAGATATCTTTCGGGGGATTCTGTAGAGTCTGGTGGAATGCCTGGAATATCTTGGGCCTGACGGCAGTATTAGTCACCGACACTAAGTGATGATAGGGTTGAGATTGCAATGCATACCCCGGGGTACTCCCAGTCAAAGTCGACACCATCAAGGCCATTATCGACAATAAAGTCAACGACGTTCTTGGCGAGGATCCTGGGCAATGTGAGATGCCTGCATGCAAACGAAGTCGGGAATTCCGGGAACTCACTGGCGATTACCATCCATCACACCAGTCCGAAGAATCTCATAGGTGTAAGCATCCGTGGAGAAACCCCATCCACCAAAGCTGAGAATTCGTTTGATGCCGGTAAGATTGAGCAAACCATTGAACTGATCTTGATCACCGCTGACGTCGACTTGAAAGTCCGTCGTGATGTTAGCAAAGCCCCAGTGGACATGGGTATAGTAGTCATTCCCCTGAAACTTTGAGATATCCATGTTCAAACACGGGCGATCCAAGTTCCAGCTTTCAAAGTAACCAATCCGTTTGATTGAGCTGGGTTTAACTGCATTGTTAGTGATGTTGGTGCCGCAGTTGGAGATGCAGCCGTTGGTTCCGTTCTTTGCCGTTCCTGGGGCCCTATTCAAGAAGACAGACTTAGACAAGGCCTTGTCAAGAAGGGCCAGAGGCAGAAAGGAGGAGGTTTCGCTTACCCAGTGGAAGCAGGATCATCGGTACAGAAGTCGGGGGTGATACCGCACTGGCCCCAGATGTCACAACAGGCATTAAGAGGACAGGGGTTCAGATTAGTCCAGTTGCTTGGAGCCATCCCGGCCGGCTGAGTGGTATTTGGAACCTAGTAATATTGTATGCATTGGCAATTTGGCCGATTGCTCACAGTATGCGCTCAAGGGAGTGCTAACCTGGGGTCCGCAGACCGCATTCTCCAAGGGCGATGGAAAGGGAGGGTTGCCTTCGCTCAGACAAATTCTCTGGTCGACCAGAAGATGTAAACAGCCGGCCCAGCCCCAGGTCTGTTTATTGAAGACGGATATGCTCGTCACATTCATCTGGTGTGCAGTGGCAATGGCTGCACATGAATCTCCCGATTCAACCGTATATGTGTAGCAAGTGCCGTTGGCATAGGGCTTGGGGGAGAAGTCTGGAAGCGACCCCGCTGAGCAACAGACATACTGGCCCACTTGGATGGAGTTACAGAAGTTGGATGTAGGGTTGTAGGCTTCCAGTTCGGCTTCGGTGATACCGCATCGCTCGGCCAGGCTCCAACAGCCATCCCCGGCGACGGCCTGAGTGTAGCTGCAGGTGCTGGCCACCGTCCCGCAAACGAGAGAAGAAACAATCACCAGGATGGAAAGGAAAGACATGATGATGAAGGAGTGGCAGCGTGGTGAGGAACATCAAGGGGGAAGAGTTGGTGAGAGAAGTCGACTTTATAGACCCGATCGGCCACGGAGCAATGGTTCATCTAGCCCTTACTCCCTTGAAGACTGACTCGGACCTCGTCCGGAAGAAAGGCACAGGATTGCGGAGTATAGGATTCGACTGCGCCAATCCCGATCCCGCACTTGGATAGCGCGAGGCTAAAGGTGAGCGCTAATTCTCAGGCCTCCCACTATCTAGATAGGTTCCTGCAGCATCGCCCTGGCTACCTAGGTCGTCGAGGCCGTCGAGGTCTTGGTCCATCCTCAATGCAGTAACCAGCCCCGACATTGAGATGGCTGCCTGAGAATTCTCCCCACTCGAGGGAAACTACGCAGAGATATCCCTGTATATCCCTCATACCTATACATCGAGAAACCAGGGAAGGATTGGCCCCAAGGAGTCGGGCTCATTTACTCTCCTCCGAGAATTGGGAAATCTAGGAGAAATAGCCTCGGCCAGGTTCCGCGATGACCGGCCAGGCTTCTGTCTATATAGCCTCTAGTGGCTGGCTCGATACCTACGGCCTTGAGAACCCCGTCTTCCTCGCCTCTTGTCACTCTTTGACTTGTTGAACCTATCTCGCAATCATGAGGCTCGTTGCTATCTGCCTTTCCCTGTGCCTTCTGGTCCCCTCGGTGCTGGGCAATGTCCTGGCCGGGCCGTATCAGGTATGAGACTACCTTCCCCTGGGAGCAATCACCTCTGGGAAAACATGGCCGCAGCTAATGTTGTTTTCACAGAGTCTCTTGTATTGGTACGCTTACCGCATCGACATTATGGCCAATGACCCTGCGACAAGGGTGATTGCAGTTGGCTGTGACGGCACGGGCCCCGGAAATACATGCTACTTCGATGAGTTCCTCAGGTACATTCAAAAGACAGGCAAGAAAACCAAAGCATGGACGGGATCCACCACTGTCGGAGAAGACTTGACTCCGAACGTGCTGGCCACAGCTGAAGAGCTGGCCACGGGTGGAGTGGCCAAAACTCCGTCGCGATACAGTAACACCGCCGATGTGACCAAGCTGTGCAAAGCACTCAAGAATAAAGGGCCAGTGAACTACGACACACTGATGACAACAGTTGTGGATAGCATCCAAAGTTCCCGCGCCAAAGTCGCCTCAAGCACCGAGGTCAACATTGACACAGAGCTTAATGGTGCTCGCGAGGCATTAACCATAACTCATAAAGCACGTGTGGCCGACAACGCGGCAGCTATAATCAAGGGTGCCAATCAAATTCTCAAGGGGCGTGGCATAAAATGGGTGCGCAAGACAGATGGTCCGACCAATGCATTGATCACTTGCTAACTGGAATTTGAGCCAGACTGTTACACCGAAAATACACCCAGCTTCGGCAGGGACCCCATTCGAGTGGGAGGAAATTGACACAGAGGCGACAGTGAAAGCCCATGAAGACGCGACGCCGAAAGTCATCAACGCTATCGAGACATATATCAAAACATATGGGACTAAAGGTGGCAATGACGCAAGTCATTTAACCGCTGCTGACGTGGCTCAAAAGGGTGAGAGTCGTCTCAACGGTGATCCGAAATGCTGATCATACTATGTCCTCAACAGCACACCCCAGTGGGCGCTTCTAGAGCAAATAGTCCGAACAAGCTGGAAGAGGTGTTGATGGAATGACAGGGGGCGAGGATATAAGGATTGTATCATATGGTACGCGTGGTGGCAGTATATTCCAAGAGGCATTGCCTGATTGATGGCGGAACTGACCATATCTATAATTCTATCATTAGGTGGTGTTGATTCAAGGGTTGAGTTGTTTCAACCTGTGTGCACAAATCAAGCTTTCAGTTCAGTCAGATATTGTCGCGATTGGTATCCATTCGAAGCAGACTCGTCAAGGAGGTGGAGGCGAGCGACGCCTTTTAATCTTGCACATGCAGAGTCGAAACATAATAGCGGGGCGTAATCTTAGGAATAACTTATCGTTCATGGATCCATATTTTTCGAGAATAGACGTTTTCATCTGCCGTGTCACCAAATCGGTAGAGTCTCGGTGGAGGTCCACTGGGATATGATTCTCATCATGGCACTTGGCCGCAAAGTCAAAAAACTGATCAATCTGCACTTCATTGGCTATATCAAGAATTTGAACTGGTGCATCGCCCAGTAGACCGAAAAGACCCGACTGAGCCGCAGCTCTGGCGTTAGTATGGATAACCACTATCCGTACAACCACTTTCCAGCTCTGTAGACAGGTCAGGATCTCCAGCCTGCGTTGTAGGGATGGATCACCATGCCACGTGGTAAGATAATCAAGCATCAAAGATGCACCCCGTGGCATTCTGTCTCCTAGCCACGCAAGACACTTCAAAGGACAACCGAATGATATCGGGAAATCGAGCTGATACCAGGGGTTCCAGTTGAGATGAATTGAATCTCGAGTCTGGTCAATCCAGCCAGAAGAAATTGTATTTCCGGCTTCCCACTGTGCGTCTTCGGGCATTTCGTCGGGGAAAGAATCAAATACTCTTCCAGTTTCAAAGGCAACAGCCCGTGATTCACGACAGACTTGAGCTAGCAGTGGCGGACAGGCATTGATCAGTGATGAAGTACCCAGAGGACATGAGGTTTTCACAACAGAGACCATGTCTTTATAATCTTCAAAGTATACAGGAACATCTAACTCAGCGACTCGCTGTGGCAGACAGTAACGCCAGATTACGAGCCGTAGCTCAGCTGGGAGCTTGAGAAACAGATGGAAATAGGGCGCGGAGCCTGGGATTGTAGGCGTGGCCATAGTAGAGCTGTACGTAAGGTACGTCAAGGAGGCGTGAGAAGAATCTGGAAACCCTTCCAACTGCTGATGGGCAAGAGTGGAGGGAAATGATGAATCATATGAGAGAGAGAGAGAGAGAGAGAGAGAGAGAACCCCGTCACGTGTGACTGTTGGATCACATGATCATATGCCTGAAGAGCTCACCCAAATACTAGGCAGCACTGTTCCCAAGCAGGCCCCTTTGGGAATAGTAGTACTATACGAGTTAAAGTGGGGAGACTCGGAATTACTTCCCTGAATTGCACGCGGGAGGAAATTAGATCGCAGAGTGGGTCCGCACGGATATCCCCGTAACAGTGGGTCATGACTGACTGGTTATGATTTATGAACTGGTTTACCAGAAATATTTAATTTCGGTTTGCATTATCGATGATTCCAAACAGAATGAATAAATGAAGGCCTAATATTCTCTCATGTTGTAGGCAATACTAAAGATATCTAGACATTTATATACATGTGATATGCTGGCACGTATTGTACAAACCTAGTATGCAACTGTTACATACTACAGTTGCTAGGTTTGTGTATCCTTTGGAACAGCCAATGGATACCACTTCCCAGTGTTATACTGTTGGATGTAGATCCAGTAGCATCTACAGATATAAAGGGAAGCCTTGTCCTGCGCCACGCATCAGGAATATCAGTCCACTCATCCCACCGTCAAAGTCACCGACGAGGAGGGTGTGTAGGCTATGGTGGATTTTGTTGTCAAGAAGATCGGGCTCTTGGATTATGCAGTGAATGAGAGAGTCACATCCAACTTTCCATCTTTTTTTTTCTTTTGTGCACTAAAGACCCATTGAAACCTGATTATTATTAACAAATACCACCCAACCTAGATTGACAACGGCATCCACACCTTCCTCGCCGACACCAATATCGATATATTTGATAACGTCCAGACTGTCAACGCCCGAGGCATGTTCCTCTGCTGCCGCGCCCAAGTCGCAGCCATGTAGAAGCAGACCTCACGGTCGTATACCAGCCGTACTAGCACGCGGGATATCAGTCATGACGCAATTTTGAACGTCTGTTCAGCCAATTCTCTCGCTGGACTGGCCGGGAAAGGCCCCTATGTCAATCCTCCAAGCATGCGTGTATGGCGGTGACCAAGATGACAGGGGTGTTTTATTTTCCTTTATCTTTATTTTACTCCGCCTTGCCTATGCTCTTTGCCATAATGAATTCCCCTCTGATACATACATACAGGCTTGGACCACTTTGCCGAAGGCATTCGCTGCAACGCCGTCTGCCCCACCTGGGTACGCACCCCGCTCCTTGACAGCGAACTCGAACGCAACCCCCATGTCCGGGCGGAGGGCGAGGAGGTCGGTGATACAATTGTGTATTTGCTGAGTCCGTCGGCGAGTTATATTAATGCGACAAGTCTATTGTTGGATGCGGCTGTTACTGCGACGTTGCGGTTGCATTGAATTGGTCCTTGGGTTAATGGAGAGTGGAATTACTTTGTCCGTATTGTTGACAGAATTGAGCTTTCCAAGAAAACCCATTTGATACTATATGAGTATCTGTTAATGGGCTCTCTAAGACTCTTGGTTCGTTCAATTAGCAGCTCTTTATGGGATTGGCTCTATTTGATCATATTTGCTGATTATCTTCACCAATATAGATAGGTTTATCTGAAAAGTTCTGGATCCATACCCCCATAACCCTCATTTACACGCTTCCATCCCCTCACTCGTTGAAATATAACCTCGAAACGTTACCAACGAGAACGTGCACTTAACACAACCTTAAATCTGCATTCTCTAGTATCATGCATGCCACAAACATCAGGCAACAATATACAGTCCATGAGTTAGAAGATTGAAACATGCAAGTAATACTCCCACTATCTACTTTGCAGCACTTCCATATGATGTGTGTGAAAAGGAATGTGAGGATCTGACGTTCAAGTGTCAGAAAGCCCAATCCTTAATTCACATACCCTCGTTAATATCCCATCCCTCCTCCCCCAACCAGCCTCCAGGAAACCCGAGTCGAATAGCACCACCCTGGTCTTACTGCGCATCATTGAAAGCACTTGCTGCAAGCACGTATAAGAGATCAGCGACATTGATGTATGCAGTATGTTGTGCGCCACTGTGGAGGTCCATCAACATTCTTGACACAACAGCGGCAGTATACATATTGCTTCTGTGGCGCCGAGGGTAGCATCACATCTCAAGGTATGCTTCGATTCTTTGGCCCATGCAAGTAGAATCGTCTGATCATTTTAACTCAAGCTCTTTCGCGCCCTGCGATAGTAGGAGTGTGTTTCAAGCTGTCCAGAGTGATCCACGTGTCCTCCGTGAGCGATCAGTGAGACTTGCAAAACATTTCACCACAACGATCCGCTACTACCGACTAGGATAGGAATGATTGGTGATAGGTGGATAAATTTCAAAAACACCAAAACGCGTTTTTTCCTTATGGCGGCTATCGTCCGCCGTAGGTGGATGGAAGTGTGGCTCGGATGCTTCGGAAGGATTCGTGTTCCTTGATCCTTTCCGTTGTTGGGGCCTTTGTTCCGACTTCATTGTTCCATTGTATGGATGATGATGTCATTCGGGAAGGAAGGGCGGATAGCGATACCGATAAAGAGGATTAATTATATACGCTGACTCATAAAGATACATGCAAATAACAGACAAAAGAATGGGAATCGAAAGAAAAAAAAAAAAACAGAAAGACAGATCTACTGGTCCTTCTTTCCCCCCGCAAATTCCAACCCTGTCAACTCGCCATGCTGCGCAAACCACACATCCTGCAGATAATTTCCCCGTGGCAGCCACGGCCCCCGATCGCCGGCCTTCGGCAATGCGTCCGCAGCCCGGGTGATATATGTCGAGTTCAGGTTGAGCAGACGACGCGGCTGCACCGTCGTGGCCTCGTCGCCCTGGAAGCGCGGCACTGCCGATGGGGCGCTTCGCCGGTCCATCTCGCCTAGCAACCGGCACAGGAACAGCGCAGTAGCATCGGCGCCCAGGGTCCATGACGCGTTGGTATATCCGATCACAAAGGCCGCGTTGGGCATATCCTGCACCATCATGCCGTGCCAGAGGTATTTGTCCGGGAGGTGTACGGGAATGCCGTCGACGGTGACAGAGGCGCCGCCCGCGATCTGAAGACGCAGGCCCGTGGCCGTCACGATTAGGTCGGCCGGAAGGGTCTCGCCCGAGGTGAGCTCGACGCCAGTCTCGGTGACGGTGCGGATGGTATCGGTCTTAACATCGGCATGGCCAGTGTGCAGCGAGCGGAAGAAGTCGCCGTCGGGACACACGCAGAGACGCTGATCCCACGGACCGTACCGCGGTTCGAAGTGAGGGGAAAACGGAACCGAGTCGGGCAGTTGGCGCGTCACCGACAGCCGCAATAGGAATCGCGCGGCGCCAGGGAAGGTCTGGCAAAAGCAGTAGAACAGCCACGAGCTGATGAACCAGTTCAAGCGTTGGAAACGGCGGAAGACGCCCGAGGGCAGCAGATAGCTCAACCACGATTTGTTTCGGTTGGGGAGCGACAGAATGTACGTCGGACTGCGCTGCAGCATCGTGACCCGGGCGGCTTTTTCGGCCAGCTTGGGCAGCAGGGTGATCGCTGTGGCACCGCTGCCGATTAGGACAATGTTCTTGTCGGAGTAGTCCAGGTCCTCGGGCCAGAACTGCGGGTGGATGACATCCCCCGTGAAGCGCGATAGGTTGGGGATGTCGGCCTGCAGGGGCTGGGTGTAGTCGTAATATCCCGTGCCAAAGATGAGGAAGCGCGCCGTCAACGGACGCGACTGGCCATAATGGTCGACGGCCAGCGACCAGAGCTGTTCCTCCGAGGACCAGTCGGCACCCAGCAGGCGGTGCTGGTACCGGATGTGCTGGTCGATGCCATGCTTGGCCGTGGCCCGGTGCAAATACGACACGATCGAGGGGCCCTCGGCAATGGGATTACTGCGGTCCCAGGGGAACCACGAGAATCCAAAGGTGAAGAGATCTGAGTCGGAGCGAATGCCAGGGTACTTGAAGAGATCCCAAGTGCCACCGAGTGTGTCACGAGCCTCGATGATGGCGTAGCGATAGTTGGGAAACTGCGACTGCACGCGATAGGCCGCGTTGATGCCGGAGATACCGGCGCCCACGATGAGCACGTCAAGAGGTTCAGAATTAACATCCATGATGATATACAGGGGAAGATGGGGGATGTGGTGCCTCTAGTGGTGTCCCAGACGACATTTATAGATTCAAGGCAAGACCGGCCGTACAGCTCACATGGCCTCGGCAGGGCCTGAATTGCGTCCGAGGCAGATGATCGTATCATCGTGGGCTGCAACGGCCTGTAACGAACGGCCTGCAAATTGTGCTGCAGCTTCAGAATTGGACCCTTGCTCGACCCGCAAAATGGATCGGGGGATCGACAGCCCATCGCTCCCCAAAACGGCAACCCTTGCGACTCACATGTTTCTGATCGGCCTCTGGGATCGGTGGCCCTCCCCGGCTGTAGGACAGTGTCTCGTGAAGATGCCAGTTAGATAAGTCCCTGTTCGGCCAGGGTTGCACGGCGGGGATCTGCCCTGAAGCACAACGGCATTATTGTCCTCCATCATGATTCAATCCCGCGCCATCTCGCTTTCTCTGGCGGAAAAACTCGATTTTGTGCCCGCCCTGGCCTCAATCGTCCTGACCATCCTTCGGGCTACATTAACCTCACTCTGGCGCTCCGCTGCTTATCCCAAAACCCTGGTGCTGCACATTGGCTATGCAGCGTTTCGCAAGGCGACGACACGCTTGACAGTGGCCCAGATGCAGTCCGTTCACCCCGTGCTACCCTAATCACCACCAAGACACCACTGACACATCGCAGATATGCTTTGCCTACCACCAACAAAAACTATGAGCGTTACGTGCGGAAGCACAAGCTGCCGTGCAAGACGGTTGACCTTGGCGACGGCGCCCTGGGCCATTGGATCGGTGACCAAACGGCCGACAATGTGTTGATCTGGTACCACGGTATGTCAGCCCCTTGGAATGCAGGCATCGAGCACTAACAAAAGAAATAGGCGGTGGCTTTGCCCTCCCGGCCAATGTCGGCTACTTCAAATTCTTCACCAGGCTCATCAACACCATGGCCGCGTCCAACAAATCCCTCGCCGTCTTCACCCTCACCTACACCCTGGCTCCCCAGGCCAGCTATCCCACCCAGCTCCGCCAAGCCGTCTCTGCCCTGCGCCATGTTCTCGATAAGACCAACCACAGCCCATCGCATGTTGCGCTTGGAGGCGACTCCGCGGGAGGCAACCTCGTTGGCGGAGTGCTTTCCCACCTGGCGCATCCACACCCGGAGATCGCCTCCATAACACTCTCGGGGAACCTGCTGGGGGCGGTAATGATCGCGCCCTGGACGAGCATGGAGACCAACTACACAGACCAGGTTATCGACTCGCGCGGGGATCTGATCACCCCGGCGGTGGCAGGACCCTGGGCGAAGGCTTATCTGGGCACAGCACGGCGCGACTATTATACAGACTTGTCGACGGCGCCGACAGACTGGTTCACCTCATTTCCGGTGGAGCGGGTGCTGGTATGTGGCGGGGGGAGCGAGATTCTGTTACCGGTCATCCGCGACTTTGTGGACAAGTTCTCGGCCGGGTTTGAGCGGGTGGAACTGTGTGTGGGTGAGGGTGAGGGCCATGTGGCGCCTATCTATAACATGTATATCGGGGATCGGGATGAGACGGTACAAGGGAAGCGAGTGGTAAGTTGGTTGCGGGAGGTGCTGTGATGTAGATATTCGTGGTGTCGGATTTGGCGTATATAGGCTGGTTGGGGTGTTTGATACATATGATATGTTTGATTAGTGTGTTTGTATAGTGAATATATAGTATCACTTATGCAAAAAGTGAATGTGAATACAAACATGGCCAAATCAGCCAAACACCTTTGATTCTCTATTTTACTTAAGGATACCTCCTATCTTCCCACACAGCAGATCGCCCAGAATCCCACCCAGAGCAAGACAGGCTATCACAGCCACAGATGGTATATAATCTTCAAATGCGCACACATTGCAATTAAATAAGTCCATTAAAATCATGCTAACATACAAATACATCAGAACTAGGTATCACTGCTTCTGCTGCCACTCCCGCAAATGCAGCAAATCCGCCGATGCCAGCGCCCTCACCCGCTCTTGCATCCACGTCGGAAATGCCCGCACCAGACTGGCCACCCAGTACCTCTCTGGCAGGATGACTTGCCCACTCTTCCCAGACAAAATCTGCTTCGCAATGGCATTTCCTACCCGCTCGACCGTCAAGACCGGCTGCTTGAACTCGTTGCCCGCGTCCGTTAATTGCTGGATCATGGGCGTACGCACCCAAAATGGGTGAACCACACTGAAACCGTTAGCACATCACCCTTTCCATACCCAGCGGCTTTCGAAGAATAACAGAAATTAGCTCACCTAGTCTTCACTCCCGTCGTCTTAAACCAATACTTCAACTCCTGCCCTAGCCCCTCATGGAACGCCAACGCACTCGCCTTCGAACAACAGTAATCAATCATCTCCCCCAACGCCACAAAACTGGCCATACTCGCCACTGTCACCACATGGCCGTGGTTGCGCTCGATCATGGCGGGGAGGAACTCCCGCACCGTTATGAAATGCGAAATTGTATTGACCTCGAACGTCTGTCGGATCTTGGCCTCGGGTTCCTCCAAGATGGTTCCATCATGGCCCACCCCTGCGTTGTTGACCAGCACTGTAGGATGACCATGCTCGGAGCGGATCTGCTCGGCCACGGGGTGGAGGGCGGTGGAGGAGGTGATGTCGGCTTTGTAGAAGGTTACATTGGGAGCTATACTGTCAGTAAGTGGCTAAGGTAAATGATAAGGGGAGCATACGGAGCTTGAAGGAGGGTTCTTGAATATCCAGGATGATGACTCGGGCGCCCTGGCTGGACAACTCAGTCATGATCTGCTTGCCAATACCGCTACATCCACCTGTCACGAGAACCAGCTCGCGATTATTGTTCCAAGTCCGGCTGCCCAAATTGTTAAGCGACAGGGTGTTGAGTACGCGGTTGGTCTGGCGCAGCGCAGTGAGTGCCAGCACAGCACCGATAGCTTTGGGGACGAGTGGGTGCAATAGCGCCTGCTGGGCCGGGGGCGGTAGGCTGGCCACGGCAGTTTGGGTCCATTCGTGGACGACGGCGGGGGAAAGAAACGACATTATGGTGTTGATGATAGTGTTTGAACAAAGTACCGACCATTGATGCACGTCTACCGTCGTCGTTGCTATATATGGGCTGCATATATGACATGCAACCGAGGCTCATATGAGAACGACACATTTATGAGATCACCCCGGAATGGGAAATCGTTGCGATGAGGGTCTTAAAGTTTCGGGCAGTTGAATTGCGGAGATGCGATCCACTGGCTCAGTTTTTGCGCGCCGATCCCGTGGACGATCCAGGCTGGGACACATGTGATGCTACGGTTACAGTGATCTAAGGGGCTAAGCTTGATCTGCCTGTTTGCTTCTGCCCCTCGTATCAGATTGCTGCTGTCGGAGGGGTTAGGGTTGCCAGCAGCCCATGTGCCAAGTGCCAGCCGAGGCAACCCTCATTAGGGCCAGTCGATCGCTCCCTGATCCTCGCTGCTCATCTAAAACGAGACTCTCATTTCGACTCCTGAGCCATGTCTGTCCTACCTTCTGTATCACCACGCCACCATGGACTCTGGGCTTGTGCTGCTGTCCGTTGCCTTGGTGGAGGCCTATCTCCTGCAGCGCAGCTTGCTGCCCGACTGGGCATTTCGCAGTGTGACTGTTTTATCGCTGGCGGGAAATCTAACCCTCCGATTGATCTGGGGATTGTTTGTCTATCCGTACTTTGTGACTCCGTTGCGTCATCTGCCCACTCTTCCGGTATGCCATGAATCTTCACGATGATACCGTCATGGGATCCTGCATATACTAACGATGTAGGGCAACCTCAACCACGGCCGCGTCCTCTTTGACGACCCTCGCGGTCGTCTCCCACTGCAATGGATGAAGACTATTCCCAACGATGGGCTCATTCACTTCCGCGATATCTTCAACCGGAGTTTCCTGTTGGCCACTAATCACCAGGCCATGCTTGACATTATGAGTACCAACACCTACGACTTTGAGAAGCCGTGGCGCACGCGCGAGTTTCTGGCGCGGATAATTGGATTCGGGCTGATTCTGTCCGAGGGCGGCGCGCACAAGAAGCAGCGACGGGCGCTCACTCCCTCGTTCAATGTGCGACATATCCGGGCGCTGTATGGACTGATGTGGTCGAAGACGGGGTTATTGATGGAAGAGCTAGAGAAGGAGATGGACTTGAATGAGGGGAAGGTGGAGATGAGTGTGTGGGCTAGGTATTCTCCTTAATTTCTTATTCTTATTCGTCTATGAATTCCCTCATACCTCTCACTAGCATTCAACCTCATATAATGCTAACCAAACAGCCGCCTGACCCTCGACATCATCGGCCCCGCCGCCATGGGCCGCGACTTTCGCTCTCTCCAAAATCCCGAGAACAAAGTAGCCGACAGCTTTCTTGCCATTCTCGAGCCTACGAGAGAAAAGATCGCCTTTCTGGCCATCAACGTGCTCCTCCCACAGTGGTTCGCGCGGCGTCTCCCGTGGCGACTCAACCATGTCATCGACACGGAGACGGGCTTCCTACGCGAGCTATGCAAGGACATCGTATTGGAGAAGAAGGCCTCTATCGTAGCGACACAAGCCACGGCCGCCGAGCTCGAGGCCGACATTCTCGGAACAATGATGCTAGGGGGAGATTTTACCGACGACGAACTAGTGGATCAGATGTTAACATTCCTCGCGGCTGGCGTAAGCCCTCCCTCCATCCCTTCCATCATCATCATCCTCTACGCAACACACAAATACTAAAACCCCGCACCAGCACGAAACAACAGCCAGCGCCTTCACCTGGGCCTGCTACCTGCTCACCCAGCACCCAGAATACCAACCTCTCCTCCGGGCCGAAATCCGCTCCCGCATCCCCAGCGGCACCTCGCCCATCACCCACTCCGACCTCGAATCCCTCCCCCTCCTCAACGGCATCGTCCAGGAAGTCCTCCGCCTCTACCCCACCGTCCCATTCACCCTGCGCGAATCCATCCGCGACACCACCGTCGCCGGCACGCACGTACCCCACGGCACTCGCGTCCTTCTCTGCCCGTACGCCATCAACCGCAGTCCACAATTCTGGGGGGCAGACGCGGACGTCTTCCGTCCGGAACGGTGGGTGGATACGGATGTGAGTGGGAATAAACTGGTGAATCAGCATGGAGGGGCGGGGACGAATTACGCCCAGATTACATTTCTGCATGGACAGAGGGCGTGTATAGGGAAGGATTTCGCGAAGGCGGAGTTGAGGTGTGCTCTTGCGGGTGTGTTGGGGAGATTTGAGATGGAGATGCAGGATCCGAAACAGGTTATTCATATTGCGGGGGCGGTGACTACCAAGCCGGTGGAGGGGATGCATTTGAGGGTGAGGAGGGTAGAAGGGTGGTGATTTTGATGTGGTATATATGATTTGAGTATATGACTGAACATTTCGAGCTAGGTAGTGCATGTCTGCTAGAGCGGTATATAACGACTTATGGGAATGACTTTTGTTTAAACCCGAACATGAGAGCTATAAACATCACTTTTACCGTCCATGTGCATGTGCATGTCCATGATGGTTATGACTATGCCCATGCAAATACTCACTCACCTTCCTCTTCTTCCCTCCCTCTTCCTCGTCCATCTCCATCTCAATCTCATCTTCATCCAACCCGGGCCAATCCTCCCACCCATCCTCCCAAATCTCCGCCATCATCTCCTGCTTCTCTCCGCGAGTTACTCCCTTCTTCCGCATAACACCCTCCCACCGCTTCATCTCACTATCATTCAATAGACATTCATCAAGCAGCTCCGTAATCGCCACCGTATCAATACCCTCCCCGATAAACACTATCTCCTGACGACGATCCCCCCATTCACCCTGAAAGTCGTCCGTGATGGACTTGCGCACGTCCGCGTCCTCTGGCCATGCTTCGTCGGGCAGTTCGGCGAACCACCCGCCGCCGCAGCCTAGGGTTAGCATGACGCCGGCTTGACTCCATTCGCCGAATTGATAGGGGCGGGTGGCTAGCCAGAAGAAGCCTTTGGAACGGAGGATGGGGTGGAGAATGGGGTGGGCGCGTTTGTTGGAGAGGATGGTTTCAGGGGTGGGTTGGTCGAGGTCGGGCATTTCTGAATCGGAATCGGAATCTGGATGTTCTTCTTCATCTTCTTCTTCCTCGTTGTCTTCGTCTTCGTTGTCATCATCGTCGTCGTCGTCGTCACCCCCGGCGTTTTGCAACAAAATAAACTTATCATACAACAACGCGAATAGCCTCCGCGGATGAAACGGTCTTCTAGCTGTATACACAAAGTTATTGATGCCGTACCTGTCCAGTTAGCAATCCTTCAATCCCAGATAAAGAGGACAGTACTTACTCCAATGTCTCTGGCTTGGGCGCCATCCGCACTCCATTCGCTGTCTCCACCTTGCCCATCTCATGCAAACTCCTCAACCAACCGGCACTACTAGCCGCACGCAAGAAATCAAACCTCTCTGTCCCCAACACCTCCCTCACATCAATCTTCGAATACCTACTCTCCAGCACCTTGGCCACGGGATTTAGTAATCCCACCAGGGTGCGTATCTTCTCTTTTGCCACAGAATCTACCATATCAATTTTATTAATAACAATCACATCCGCAAACTCAATCTGATCAACCATAAGATCGGAGATAGTCCGTTCGTCTTCGGGGATAATTTCCCCGGAGCCGTATCGATCGGAGAGGAATTCCGCTGTGTGGAGGTTATGGTGGAGGTTGAATGCGTCGAGGACGGTTACGGTCGTGTCGAGGGTTGTGAGGGTTGAAAGACCACCGGATTTTACACTACCCATCGTCCCCATTATCATTAGCATATACCCAAGCAATGGAACGAAGAAGGTGGCGGGGGAGACATACACATCCTCAACAACCTTCCTACTCTCCCCATCCAATCCCTCCAACCCTAACCCAGAATCACCCCCCGCTTCAAGCATAGCGGCACTAAACTCCGCCGTGAAGGTCTCGGCTACTTGCATGGGTTCACTGATCCCTGTGCTTTCTATGACCACGTACTCGACGCCATCTTGGGTGGTTAGACGGGCGAGTTCGGAGAGGAGATCGCCGCGGAGGGTGCAGCAGATGCACCCGTTTTGTAACTGGATGAGGGATTCTTTGGTGTGGGAGATGCTGTGATGGTGGGATTTGATGAGGGTGGCATCTATATTCAAACTTTTTTCTTCTGATTAGCTTATACTGCGGGAATGGGGAGGTAGAGGAATATAGTTTGGCTCTCTGCTTCTGATGGGGCATAGAGGGATCTTCAAACATTTGAAAAAAAGAGAGAAAGATGGTGGAAAGTACCTGCTCATATCATTCACAATAACTGCAATTCGTAACCCATGATCCCCTGACTGGAGGATATGTTCTAGTAGAGTGGTTTTTCCACTTCCCTATTCCATTCTTACTTAGCCATCACCACCACCGTCACCTTATGACAAAGAAATGGAATGGAGTAAATACATACCAGAAACCCAGACAACAGAGTCACAGGTAACTTCTTCTTTTTCGTACCCTCCAATTCATCAGTAGTGGTTGGAGTTGGGTAAGTGAGGGATTCTCTGCCGGAGTCGATCATGTCTCTCTATTTTTCTGTGAAGAGGGAAGAAATTGATAAAGGGATTAGAAGGCATAATCTGACTGCTTTGGATATTGAGTCTGGATATTGTTTATATAGTCTCGACCACCAAGGTATGAGTATTTATCATCAGGGGTGTGATTGGTGATGATGGGGATGGGGGGATCCCAGGGTCCCTGTCTGCAAGGTGCGTGACAGCAAGGTACCCACCACTAGTACTGATTCCGGGGAGGT